GGCAGGACGGCCTGCGTAAAATTCCAATCTATCGAATCTTCCATTCTTAAGCTGGGCAGCAGGGGCACGCCCCAGGGCTCGGTGTTGTACCCCCTCCTCTTTAACGTGGCCATGTGCGCGCTCCCCGGGCAGTTGGAACGCATCGAGGGGCTACAATTCAGCCTCTACGCAGATTACATTACCTTAGGGGTCAACCAGGGTAGTGACTCGGAAATTGAACAAAGGCTCCAGGCGGCGACCGACACAATCGTGAGGTACGCGGCCGAGCGAGGATTGGCTTGTTCGCCACAAAAATCGGAACTATTCGTCTACAACCCTAAGCATCTCCGGTGTAAGGCACCGTCGGATATTCTAATTGAGGTAGCGGGAGCAGAGGTCCCAAAAGTAGAACAGATACGAATTCTCGGCCTAGTTCTCCAGTCTCATGGCCACAACGGAGAGACTCTAAAGCGATTGGAGAGCCACGTGATGCAGACACTGAGCCTCATCAGGCGGGTTGCGAGCAAAGGGCGAGGATTAAAAGAAAAGAATTTAATGAGGCTGGTACAAGCTTTCATATTCAGCAGAGTTAGCTACCCTACGCCTTATCTCGACTTAAAGTCGGCAGAAAAGATGAAAATTGACGGATTAATACGTAGATGCGTCAAGCGCGCGCTGGGCCTGCCCACGTGCACATCCACGGAGCGACTTTTGGCGCGCGGGATGCACAACACGTGGGTGGAACTGACGGAAGCGGTGCGCACATCTCAGATTGAGAGATTGTGCGCCACAAAAACTGGCAGGACTATCCTGGCTAAAGTAAGAATCAATCCGCACAGGGGCCCAACCCTGAAGACAGGAATTAGGGAATCAGAAGCTGGCTAACCATCCCCCCCTTTACCTAAGAATATGCATCCCGAGCATAATAAGATCAGAAGAGAGAAGAGAGCAGAGGCCATTAGTCTCCGGTACAGGGAGCTGCCCTCGGAGCAGGTAGCTTATGCGGACGCCGCTTGTGGCCACGACGGACGAGCGGTAGCCGCGGTAGTCGATGGCCGCGGCTACCGCGGCCATCGACTGCAGCGGATGAAGTTGCGGTAGCATTGGCTTGCGTCGGCACGGAAGCAAAGTTCATCATAAGCGACAGTAAAACTGCCATCCAAAATTTTAGTGCAGGCAGAATCTCGCCTGCGGCGGCGAAGATTCTGGATCAGCGACTAATTGCGAGGAAAATTACGTTGATCTGGACACCGGCACATGCCTCCGTCCCCGGCAACGAGGCGGCTCACGAGCTAGCTCGAGGTTTATACCACCGGGCTGGTGAGGACCCCCTCTGGCAAGGGAGCGGTGAACGCATGGTAAAATATGGGTACATTACAGATTGGAACGTTGGCTGGTACCCCCACCAGACCCGTCATTAAATAATACGCAGGCAGTCGCGTGGCGACGACTCCAAACATACACGTACCCACACCCAATCCTGGTGAACCATATGTTCCCGGATATAAGATCAGACGAGTGTACACACTGCGGGTTGAGAGGGTCCCTCGACCATATAATCTGGGAATGCTCAAATTCTGCTGGGAGGGCGCTAAATATCGCTTCTAAAGAATCCTGGGAGACCCTGCTGCGCAGTTCGGACCCTGAGCTCCAGCTCCGCCTCGTCCAACTGGCTGAAGAGGCCGCCGGGACACAAGACCTCCTGGCCCGCAAATAAAGCGGTGCCTCCTGCCTCCCCGGCCTGGTGCCGAGGGGGGAGGGAGAATGCCAATTCTGTCGGACAATAAATGTTCTTTCCTCCTCCTCCTCTGGGAGCAGATGTTGCGCGACCCGGAGGAGTCAGCCCAAGTCCTGACCACCTCCCGGGCCCTGGCGGTCGCGACGGCCCTCTGGGCCTCCACCACCCCCAATACCGGATCCCGGAGGACTAATAAAGTTTCCTCCTCCTCCTGACAGATGGCGGTAGCTGTCCAGAGTTTTGTGTCGACATTTATTTTGTGATGGACACGAAACTGGGGAAACTAGCCCGCAACAACTCCGCTTAAAAAGGCTCGAAGTGCACGTAAGCAGTGGCGTCACACTGCTTAGGTGTCAACAGGCAGCATTTACTAGTGAGCCATGAAGCATCTCAAGAAACCATCTCCGACTCGGAGGACATGGATGTTCCAACAGAAGTGCCCAACGAGGAGAATGTGCAGCACCAGGAAACTCGTGACTATGAAAGTGAATAATGGATGGTCCTACAGACTATCCAGCGCCGGTACCTGAGCAACCTCCCACTAGCATGCCATCAAGACCAAACAAGAAAGTGAAGCTTACTTATGATGAACACTTCAACCAGGCATGTTAGTCAAGTTGTAGTATTTCAAGTTAGTTCATTGTTTAGAAAGGAAGATGTATCAGATCTGGTGCTAATGTCCAGTTTCAGTAAGCTGTAAAGGGCAGTCTGGCAACCTGAATAAACCAGTTTCGTTACAAGACAATCTCGATGCGCTCAGCACTTCTTACAAGTCGTGGATCCAAAAGCATGAATAGGGAGTTTTCGTAGAACGTTTTCGCCGTCCCGCAACGCTCTCCGCAACCCGTTACGATACCCGGAACTCTACAGCCAAGGCTATCGGCGCGCAGGCGCAGTAGCTGCTTCTTCATTGCCGAGGGCTTAGCGAAGGTGGAAACGTGGTGTATGCGCGCGCGTTCTCGTGAAGTGGGCGCGCCGCGCTGACATCATACTTTCGCATTAATAAACTAGATTGCTGGCGCTTGGAAAGCCGCTTCGCGAATGCCCGGGTCGCTCGTCCACCAACTCGCCGGTGACTTGCACAGGTAGGGAAGAGCAGGGGGGGAGGGGGGGGGGGGGGGGGGGAAGGTGCCTCCGCTTTTAATGCACCCTCCTCAGAATTTACGGCGCTCCGTGGGGGCCGCCATGTTAAAACTTGATACCAGTGTTGCTGCATCTCTAGGATCATCTTTTTTAAGTCAGAGCTGACGGAGAAAATCTGGCCACGGCGCAACGCCGATGTACATATAAAAATAGGCAATAAATTCAACAAAAAAAAAAAATAGTAGAAGGGATGACGAAATGCTACGCTAGGTGGCGCAAGCTGCCGCCCGATACAAAGGGTATAGCCATTACCATCCATCCATCCATCCTGGAAGCTAGAGCCGGTTTGCTTTCGTTGTTTTTGTTTGGTCGGAGAAAATCTAGCAACAACGCACGTTCAGCATGGCGCCTGTATTGCTTCGGCAGCTTCGGTTTGACCACGTTTGACGCGGTTTTCGAGCACATGTAGCGAAGACGTGACCGAAGAAGTGCCCCTTAATGGTCCCGGAAGACGGAAAGTATCATTCGTAATCGTCGTGTGTGCTTTGAAAGCGAAGGGAGTCACAGGGTCCACGAGTGCGCAACAACAAGGCAAGGTTCACGACAGCGCTCCGTTGACTTCTGCGATCTCGTTCTGTTTGGTGCATAGAAATAGGTTTGATGCAACACGGCGATGGCGGCAAAGAGTTGAAACGTTCGTGGTGTGTGGTGCGGTGCTTGGAGGTAGAAGCCCATATTAACACGAAGCGCAAATTGGTTATTGTGGGGTTGAAATTGAACAATGGACTCCGGATTGTTGTCCTAGACCTGCCGTTTTTATGCTTTATGCCAAGTTCAGAGTACAAGTGTGCCTGCTAGGGTGCGGCCTACCCCATTTCGAACCCTCGTCCTTGAGTACCGAGCCGCCTACCACCTGGCAGGCCGGTAGTTGGTGTTATTTCGGGGGATCCACCCATGTCAAATCGCCCTCCGAGAAGAGGGGAGGGAGGGGGGGCGCGGGGCCGGGGGCGGGGCCGTTCCCGTCCCCGTTGCCTTCCTCCTGGGTCCGCCGCTGGGTTGACAGAAGCCCGCATCGCCCGCATCTGCACTGAGTGCACTTGGGCTGTTGTAGTGGCTGTTGTAGTTGTAGTATAGGCTGCTGATGTTGCAGTATAGGCTGCTGATGCTCAAGCCTTTCTTCCGCGGCTTGCCGCCAGCTGATCCGGCTGCTCGACGGTGAGGAAGCGGCGTAAGTTACCTCTGAAGTAAATGTAAATCTTGTTCATACAGTTATCCGGCGTCAAAGTGTGGAAAGTGTCCAACGTGTATTGGGGGCGGGAACCACGAGCGTTTTGCCTTGCTTTTGTAACCGAAACCAGAACACCGAGTTAACTGCCTTGCGTACTCCGAAATGATGAAAGCAATAAGTCGTCAAAAACCCGTTTCTAGGGTTTCAAACCAAATAAACAAGACAAATATAATTCAACTTCGTTGTCTGTATGCAGGAGGACTTATGTAGCACAACAATACATTCTCGTTCCAAAATGAAAAAGAAAGTAAAAGTCAGTCCGCCGTATATGGCAGCAACTTCTTCGCTGCAAAACCTATGCTGGCAACGTAAGCGGTTTTAATATGGCAGCCTCCGCTTTGCGCCGCGTTCCCTTTCCCTCCTTTCCCCCCCTGGGGAAGAGTAGGGATTTTTCATTGTTGCCAGTAGAGATTTTGACCGGACAAGCGCTCACGTCTGGATTAACCCAGTTTTCAGTGAAAGTGGGATAGGTGGGTACTCCCACGGTATTTTACGGAATTTGTTTTTGAAAATGTTCTTTGTACGAAATGCTTTACGCACCACCCTGCACAATTCTTAAACGCGTCAAAAATTAACTGAGCAGTTTTACTGAAACTGCAAACTATATGCACAAAAAGAGTCTACAATGCACCACTGTCCAAAGCACCAGTTTGAGAGCCACCGGTACAGGGCCACGCTTGTTGTGGAGGCACTCTTCGCTCGTGCTGCTCAACTCTGGCTTCACGAATTAGGAATATGAAAAATGGTAGACTCTCAGATGAGAACACTACGCAGCCTGGTACAACAATATTGGCACCGAGAATTCCGCGTGGCGGGCGTTTCATTGCACTTGGGACTATTTGACTAGCCTCACTATCATTTTCGATTCTGTGAAAAAGAATGTTTGTTCATAATCACGGGACAGCAAACAGCTCTCGGCAACTTGTTTTATTTTGGCTTGCAAAGCTATTAAAGCGCGCATAACGCTGATGCTTGGAAAAGCAGACGACCAAAAGCACCGCTTGCCTGGGTTTACGTAATTAAGTTCGACTAGCCACAAAACTTGCCAACAAAAAAATTATGATAGCAAAACTAACTACAAAATATGTCCACCTCGCATCATGATCGACGTTTGTATATTTAAATATTCCCGTTGTTTATGTACACACATTATGTACAAAGGCTATAAAAGCTGAAAGATTGGCGTATAAAAATAAAAAAAAGGGGCTCCCCTCCCCCCAGAAAGCAAAAAGCGGGGAAAAGAGAGGCCCCGCAGAATCCCCGTCTGTCAGTTGTCCAGTTCGCTCAGGAGGGGGTCCTTGAAATCTGGGACCTTGGGCAGAGACTTCTTCACCGGAGGCACGCTCTTCTTTTCGGCCGTGCTCGCCCTGGGAGCCACCGGCCTTGTGCCAAAAATGTCATCTGCAACGACAGGCCGCAACGGCGGGGCATTCTCAACTGTCCGGAAGACATCTTGAGGGACATGTTTTACGCGGGGTGTCAAACCAAACCCGAACCATCGTACGATTTGGCTGGCGATTTTTTGAAGACCGAAGTCCAAAAATGGTTGCATGGCCCCTTTAAAAACTTGCGACGGTGGCATCAGCCGCGCAGTCTTGACTAAACAAATGGCAGATACATGGAGACAGCTCAATAATAATGAATGAAAGAAATACATTTCACACCTGTATGCAACACAACTTGATGTCAACAGAAATGCAAGTGCAAAGCAGTTTGAACTGGTGGAAGCAGTAACTGAGCCAATATTTACAATACATCAAAGAGTTGGAATTGAACCAGAACAAAATTCGAAGCTAATAATATCCGAACCAGAACCGAACCCGAGTTCTGACTGGTTCAATACCCTGGTTCTACGAGCCGAGAAATTGAACCCACGTAGCGACAGTCGAAAAACATCAGTTCTCTACCTGTAACCCACAGATAGAAAAGAGTACAGGTGGCATTCACTGAATACCGTACGAGAATAGTATTCATTGTTCACGGCACATGCTCGGAGGGGACTTCCACTTAGCGCCTGCCAGGAAATGGTCCAATCTTAATGGAGTGGAATGCATGTCATGGGAGCCGGCCGTCAGCACACTATAGCCGCAGGGTCAACTACCATATAGCCGCCATGGAGTATCATCTATATAGGTTACGAACGCAAGGTCTTTAAAACAATTAACTGAGTTAACGAACTCTGCTCTGTACAGATATAGAGACTGACAAATGCACAAATGTAACAGAACAAACACTTCATATTTCCTGATACCCTTACCTAGCATATGAGCACCCCACTGTGCCCTCAAATCTCCAATGCTAAAACCAGGGTTCGTACAGGCATCAAAAAGAAAAGAATTCAAGGGTTTTCAAGGACCTCTAAAGACATTTTCAAGGACTTCTTAAAATACCCTATCTAGTAAATTTATAATATAACAAAATTTTTTAAATGTACTGCGAAAATTCTTTATTGCACGATACCTAGGAAAAGGTGCATTTGCCAAAGAGGTGCCAGTAAAGGGTTCAGTAGAGGTACTGCAGTTTTTCCTTATTTTCCTGGTTAATGTTTAAAAGTTCTTGCATCTTTTTTTTTTTTTTCTGCAGTTTTTCTTAGTTTGTTTGACCCGACAATGCCAAGTCGAACAGCCTAAGGAAAAAGGCGAAAATGCAGGTGATGTCATCTGTTGCCTCTGCGTTCTCGGTGCCTGTAATCCTCACGACCCCTGAAAGTGGCACTTCTCGGGCATCGCGCACCGTTTAAACTATGTTCATCATGTGTAGCGTGAAACAGAAATGGAACAAACAAACCAGGAGTAGCTAGTAAACAATACACAAGAGAAAGCGAACGAGGGAAAAGATCGCAGATGGCAGATGGGCGAGTCCGGATATGGAACCACCGGGATGCTACCATTGTGGCCAGGCACTCAACAGGTATCCACTAAATGTGTCTAAATGTACTATATAAAAAAACTTCTCGTTGAAATTTTAAAATTTATGTTCGTTGAAATTTCAAAGTTTATGTTAACACACACGCAAAAAACATTTAATTACTGAAAAAAAAAAAAAAAGAAACCAACTATTATTGGAAAGTTTAAGGGTTTTCAAGGCACTGTTAGAAATTCCAGGGTTTTCAAGATCTGGAAAATGCCGTTTTCAAATTCAAGGGTTTTCAAGGACCCGTACGAACCCTGTAAAAGGAACACCCTACAAACCAAAACTCAAGCAGAGATAAGTTGTAAAAAGAGACTGGATGCACCCCCAAGGCAGGCCACACTGGGACTGAAGCCCCAGTCAAAATCAGCCATCTCTGAGTGTTTTCAACATCAGCCACAAAATGGACAGACCTGAGTCATCGTCGTCAAATAAAGTGCTGCGCTTGGGACGGCTCGACAGTGCCCTTGAAGATGACGTGAAGATGTCCGCGTCGTCATCGTCCAAGACTCCAGTGGCTTCTTTCTTCGGAGAATCCCTGGGTAATGCCTTCGTATCTTCGTCACTGTCATGCTGCAGATTTATTCATTAAGAAAAAAAACAAGAGGGAAAACCATTTAAGTCATGTCACAAAGACTGTTATAAGGGCAATTAACTACTACTTATATACACGAGACATCTGAAACAAAGATTAGAATAGCGAGGTATTCGATTTCGCCTTAAAATTGAATTGTGGTATCATGAAATTTCTCATAAATGTTTGTATGTGGAAACATTCATTCAAAGGAGGTAATGAAATTTTGACTTCAAGTCAAATTGTGGTACTGGAGACTATTTGACAAATCTCAATAAAACCAAGTTATGGCTCCATTAGGAGTGCTTCCCTTGAGGCACAGATGCACTGGAAGGAAGCAAAACCTGCAGAATACATATGCGTTATTTCTATTAACGGTCGCTAGAGCCACTTGCATTACAGGACACACAACAAATGATGTAAGCTTGCTCCTTCCAGAGAGTCTGCCTCTGACGTAACCAAACAAGAACTTCCCTCAACTGCTTTTCTCGCTTACGAAGACAAAACTTTTAAAAAGCTTCTGCCAAAACACCACCACACACGCACAAAAAACTATTGCATTTCAAATAGAAACTTCATTATAAATGAAGCTGTACCATTTAGTTTCCTGCAGAAGCCAGCGATTGAGACTAATGAGAGGAGCTCAGCAAATAACAAAACTGGGGCACTGGGCATGAAACACACACTCTGATTCCGTGTTCAAAAACTCTGCCTACGTCAGCGAGTAACACCATATGACAATGCAAATATGTAAAGACTCTGAAACTTGATTTTCAAGAGGTCTGCACCAACATTTAGATTCTCCCCGAGTTGGACTTGCCTGGGCTTATAGCTGAAAGCAAGTATAGTGGACGGCAGAGATTACCGTTTTCGGAGTTCAAAGAATGTGAAGAAATATACTATGAACAGCTAAGTTTTTTTCCCTTCAGGGGAAAGCAAAGAAGCTAGGAGATCACTAGACCATTGCGGTGAAGACTAGGGAAATATAAGTTGTGTCTATAAAAATGCCTCTAGTGCATTTATTGCAACGTTGGTGTGCATCGCTCATGCATTTGTTCATGCACCGAAAATCTGAACAAATCATCTAAATGCACTCGGGACTAGAATTTTTGTGGTATGCAAGCCCTCCAACCTTTCTTATTATGTGCTTTACATGCAGGGGAGCATATTTAATCAAGGTTTTGCTACACAATGTGCCTCCACTGTGTGAATGTTCACCCTTGTCGTCCATAATCAGAAACAATGAAGCGTCTTCTTAGCCAATAAAGATCACTAATGAGCTTTGTGGCTTTCGACGATGCATCAGTGTGCACAAGCTTTGGAAATGCTCAATCCTAACTGACCTGCGGTCTTCAGAGGACGCATATTTAATGCAAGCGCATATGTTAGCGTCTTTAAGGCAAACTTCAGCTAGAGCCACAGTATAAGGCAGCTTGCTTCCACCGTTCCCCTTAACTATTAGAAGAGTGCGCTACCTTTATGAAGCCAAAAAACCTGGAAGTGTGAAAACAACCCACCAAGAATGACATGGTAGCTGCCTTCTTTGTGCTTTGACTTGCCTTGACGTCACCGTCACCTGAAAATCAAGGTACATCCTATTTACTTGAACTTTTCCTTTGGCAACCTTTCTGTAATCTGGAGAACTCCCAAGCTTGTACTTTAATGTTGTGAGCATCTAACGTATGGGAAACAGTTGAACCTCTTACAACTCTCAAAGGACCTAAAAAATACTACCCATTGCACTGCAACAGAGTCTCTGGTAGTACACATTTCTGTTTTTAACCATTTATCCCAGCAATGTTCATCACCAGAAAAAACTTTCAGCCTTTCCACTCTGGTGAAGAAGGAAGAGCAGCGGAGCTGTACTATGTGCCACCATCTGAGTGACAGCGGTAGCTGCCCAGAGGGTTGTGTCGAGATTTATTTGTCCACGGACACGAAACTGGGCAAACTGGCCCTTAAAACTCCGTTGTAAAACTGAATAAAATGCTTAAAATGTTGCAGTAAAATTAGGCTAAGGTTAGGTTAGGTTAGCTTTATAGAGAGTCTGAAATGCCAAGGCTCGATCTAAAATGACCGTAAAATCGCCGCCTGCACGTAGCAATTTAAACTTTTCGTCAAAGGTGCATTTCATAGGCGGGTTTTACATCGTCATATTACAAGGTGTAGATCCGTCTCTTTACAAGGTAGGGCCAAGAAACTCACCAGGGTCAACAGCAGACGGCGACACAGACGACCAAGCCGAACGGCAGGGAGCGTTTGGCACATGTATTGACAGATGGCGCTACCTCCTTGTTCCGACTCGCTTTTAAAAATGTTTGAGACTGCCTGCAACGACAGTGGTCTACGAAAATGAAAATAATATTTTGGTAATGTACCTTTGGCTTAAGAATAAATGGGGACAATGATAGAAAAACTAGAAGCAACAAAAATAACCACGACGCTCTTGCGGCCGACAGCTTTCGTCTGCGTGTCGTCCGCTTTCTTTTGCCGGTAGGCTAGACAAGTAGAGCCATCTATCAATACGTGCGTCAAACGCGCCCCGCCACTTGACTCTTCATTTGTGTCTCTGCTCGCTGTTTACCCTAGCAAGTTTTTTGGCCCTATTTTTTACAGAAAGGAACCAACGCCTTGCGATTTTACGAGGTGAAATATGAAATACACTTTTAACGAAAGGTTTAGATTCCTACGTGCAGGCACCGATTCTCACGGCCCATTTTAGACGACGTATCGGCATTTCAGAGAACCTATAGCAGTGGTTCTCAAATGGAAGTCCACAAAGGCCCTCTTAGGGTCCCCAAAGCCCAAAATGAAGCAATATATATATTTTTTTTAAATTGATGCTGACCGTCTTAGATTTTAGCCATACACCCATGTGTGCATTTAATGTTCTTTCCATCATTCACCCACAAACAAGGAATCGAACAGTCTCGAAATGTCAGGTTACCGTTTTTTTTACTTTTGGTTAGAGTTCCTATTTTTCGTCTAATGTCTGTTACTAACCAGGCAGAAAGCTGCCGAACGTTTCCTTCTAAACCCTATAGATTAGGTTTGATTAGGCACTCCAGGAGGCCTAGCAAATTAATGCTTCGCCATAACACTTAATCCCTTGGAAGCACTAGGTATTTGTATCCTGATTAAGTCATTCTGCACTGTTGCAGCACTTAGGCATGTTTTTATTCACACCCACAGCTTTTTCCTGACTTCATTTACGACTTAATGTTTTTTTCGTCTTTCAATTACAAAAAGGGTCACGAGGGTTGCCGAAGCACATCCGAAGAACTCAACGAGGAACCTCCTAGAAGCCTCGAAGTGGTAGCCGACATTTTTTTCAGAGACACGGCCACTTCGGCGCTAGGTTCCTCCCCTCTTAGTGAAACGTCAGCTGTAGTTATGAGGCTTCCGGAAAAAAATTTTCGAGTCTTATCTACCAAGCTATTTACAAAATAATCTCCCCCATGCATCCTGAATTCAACCAAACTGTATAAAAAGGAAAGTATTTTAATATTTAACATCCCAGGTTTTTCAATGCTCTTCAAGCTGCATTTCAACTAGGCTCTGAAATTAACGAGACTCTGTCCCCTCTTAGTTTCATTATACTAAAAGTATCGTAAATATATTCATCGAGGAAGTCATAACCACAACGAAAGTTTAAACAGCAGAGCATAAATCCAGGTGAATTGACTCGTGACTTAAGAAAACAACTGAATGAGCGCCAAACAAACAAGGAGAGTGTTGATTAAATGGACGAAACGAGAGCTCCATTGCCCACTTGTTCAACTTTGCCCCACATTTACTTTTAGGTTCCGTTTCGGATGCTCTTCGAGAGCCAGTCTCCTCACCGAAGCCAAACAGTGCGTCGGAGCCTCTAGAGCCCTCCTGTAGGCTCCGTGGCCGGCTGGGAGCAGTCTTCCCGGCGGGGTTCACAGAAGAAAACAGGTCCTCGTCACTGTCATCCAAGATGCCCTTCCAAGGAGCCTGCAACCCGCGCTTTGCTGTCAAGCACCAAAAACCTTGGCAAAGCTCCAGGGCAGTAAAAGTTACTTCTAAAAAACTCCTCGGATCACACCTACAGGCTCTAAAAACATGATCAATTAGCACATACAGTTATGCATACCATATTTACTCCAATGCAGGCCGACAATTTTTACGGCAGTAGCTGTTAGTGCCCCTTTCCAGCGAAAAACGGCAATGTTTGAATGCAAAACATGCAAATCTTTTGCTTGTTGCCGCCACACTTCCATGCTGACCTTCTGTCCCATCATTTTTGGAACACTCATATTTTGTCGATTTCCTTGTCTCGTCTCCAGTTTCCGCTACGTTCAAAGTTGGCCCGACTCTTCGCCTTTATCTCTAAAATGTCAATCGCGCAACCGCGTCGGTTGCTCTCCCTGTAGCCGAAAAGACGACAATGATAGAACCACAGGGACAATCGTGCGCCATAATACACCGCGGGGCAACCGATTTGAGCAGCTGTTGCAAAAAGTCATTGCGAGTCAGAAAAAAGTGGGCGCCCACATGGCAAAAGCAACCCATCCCCACTTCGAGCGAGTTTCCATGCGGCGTACAAAGCACGGCCGTCCCGGCGGCCGTCACAACCGTTGTTTCTGTCACTGTAAATGCGAGTAAATGAAGTGTTTGAATTGCCGTCGACTCGATCGGTACCACCTAGAAGACAAGGCCTGTGCACGACATCGTCGTTCATGAATATCCGACCGCACAAAGCGGCAAATGCGCCAGAGCTCGATGGGAGCCGCCGTAAAGCAGCAGGCACATCCGACTTGCCGTCCCCGCATACTAGCGTTCCGCTTGTTGCGATGCTATACGTGGTGGCGGAAATGGTGACGCGAGCTAGGAGGCGCTGCATGGATTTACTGGCGAGGATGTTTGGGGGTGGAAGGTGCGGGCCTTCCAGACGGCATTGACTCATCTCTCAATCTACTCAGTGGCCTCCAAGGTGTCCTCACCTGTGACCCGTGCACCTCCTGGGGCCTTGGCGGTGGAGCGAGGGAAGGTCCCGGGCGCCTCGCTTCCGGCACGGGGCGGAGGCTGTTTTCGACGACGGAGAAGAGGTCCTCTTCCTCCGTCGACGGAGACTTGACCATGCTGGGGAGCGTCGACGAGGACCCGTGGACTGCAAGCGCCTTCCCTTCTCCCGCAGTCGGAGTAACCGTATCCGTCGCAGAAGCCACCGCGGTGCTGCGGGCCGGCGTCGGCGGCGATCTGAGAACCGCCGTAGCCGGCGAGCCGCCGCTGTCGGAAGACGGGGCGTCGTCGCTGGACCTGGGTTGACGCCCCTTGCGGGAAGGCGGCCGTCTCTTGGCCTGGATCCTCGCACGGTCCTGCCGGCAGAGATTGCATCGTTGCACTCGGCCGAAAAGGCTTTGAAGAGAAACATCTGCAAGCCTCCCAACGGCAGCCAATGCTTTACGAAAAAATGTGTAAGGAACCATCATAATCTAAACTCCGAGACACGGAGAAAATGATACAGCCGCTTCTCAGGGTTTAGATTATGATTGAAAGAAGGGTTGGGACACAGGCGAGTTGGTGAACATTAAGCAACATAATAAAACCGGAGACACAGAAAACAAGAAGGGCACACAAAACACAGTCTCGGACACAGCTAAAACGTTTTATTCGCAACACTCTCCCTTTATAGCGAACGACCCTCAGCCAACACGGATATGGAAAAACAGCAAATGCTACTATCAGCAAAAGGAGAGCCACCCATCCCCTTTTGCTGATACGAGGAAACATTCGCCGAAACCCACCTTGGTTGCGCTCGTCAGCGTTGTGATATGGTCGGCCGGCTCGTCGAAGCTGACGGACACCACCTTGGTATCTCGAAGAGGCGGCGGCCTAGCCCTGGGCTGCAAAAGAAAGGAACTACCCTTTTACCGAAAGGCCTGCCCAGTCTTTTTTTCTGCGACGCAACACGGTATACGGGGAGCGAGTGTTCCGAAATTCATGTTTGGTGTATCAGAACGCAAGGACGGGCGGTCCAATCAAAAGGCAACAGAAAGGATGTGCGGGGAACACGCGATGATGAAGCAGCCAAACGTACGTCGTCGGTGGAAACATCTGGAGGGTAAACAACGCACGAGGTGCGCAAGGAGCAAACTTACTTGCATGCAGTATTGTTTTGCTTTCGTCATGCCCGCCATTCGCTGGGGCATGGGATTCCGTGATGTCACCTGTTCTTGTGGTTCATTTTAATTTTACCTTTTGATGGACCACAGGGGACACTACAAGCCATGCAAGTCAATCCAATGCCACGTGAATGTCACGCAGGGGCGGATTTAGAGGGGGGGGTCCGGATGTCCTGACCCCCCCTTGAATTCTGCATGTGTAAAACTTAGGGTGTAAAACGAAGGAGAGGGGGTTCCTAAACATATGGTACGCTGACCAACACCTGACCCCCCCTCAAGAAATTCCTGCATCCGCCCCTGATGTCACGTGACCTTCGAGGGCTGCAGTGGTGCATAGTCACTTATATATTGAAATGGCCAAGATGGCTCGTAGCGTCCCCTACAGCCCATTGTAATTGGAGACGGAGTACAGTGACGTTCAGAGAAATGAATCGAACCATTTTGTCAGCAGACTACCCACATTAAAGTACTACCTTAATAAGAAGGTAGCGCATTGCAGAGCAATGAACCAAATACAACATCTTAAAGGGCAACTCCGCTTCATTTTTGATATTCAGAAAACTATGTAGCCCTCTTCAGTATCATATAGGAAGACCCCATGTCAAATATTACGATCTAATTCCGCTTATATATTTAATAAACTGGCCAGCAAACCTTCAAGAGAGCCAAGTCGCCGAAATCTGCCAACTCTAGCGTGCGGCACGAGGCGCAATCATCAGCGCAGTCAATGCCACGGAGTTGGAGCGGCCAACGTTGAACCACTACGTCAGAGGCATGTGTACGTCATTCTCACGTTTTGCTTGTTTTTACTTCTCAGAGTAAAATTCAACGATGACGTCATGAGTTTCTCCTCCCGGTGTTGGCTGACCGGACGTTCACGTGATCACCGTGACGCGGATGCGCTAGTTTGCGCTGCCCTGCGCGCTTATCGGTCTGTTTCTCCGCTCCCCTTCTCCTCTTTCGTCTTCTCCCCTTCCCCCTCTTCCCCGGGCCATCACCGTCCACGCCATGCGAAGCAACCTGCCCGCGTCCAATAAAAAGAAGAAAAAAAAAAGACCTGCCCGCATCGCGTGTCCTGTTTCTCGCTCCCACCCGAACGTCACAAGACCACGTGGTTCGACGTGACGTGCCATGACTCTGACGACCCGAGACCGATGTTGCCTGACGCAACCGAAGTTTCGGTTTCGGTATCTGCTCATGTTTAAATTAGGGTTACACAAATAATATTCCACATTTCGCGAATCCGAAGACGTAGAGTTGTTTAGTAGTACTTTGTGAATGTGAGTCACATGGAAGCCTAAATTTTTCGGAATTGAGCGGAGTTGCCCTTTAAGGACCAAACGCCCTGCAAAGTTCAGTTTTAATAGAGAATATCAGCCATATCACTAATAATAAAAGCTTGCAGGTTTTTTTTTGTATATAAGGCTCTATGGTGTCTGGGCAATAATGCGACCAAGTACGGCCACTGTGGATGCAGTGTTCGAGTGCCACTAGTAGTCGTTGAGACAAACTTTCAAACGGTAATTGACTGCAGCATGAACCTGGCTAAACACTTCTTTTTTCCAATTTCAAACAATATAATGCAATAAGTTTATCCAGTTTTCGAATTGCCGGTTTTTAAGGGTTCATCGAGGTAAGTTTGGAGAAACTGGAGGATGATTATCTTCTTTTTTTTAATAGCCATACAAATTTTGCATAATTTTGACTTTTTTGATAACTTCCATGAACAATGCAAAAAATATTTACAACGGCTGAGCACAAACTTTTATGTAGAAAGGAAATAAAGCATATGTTTCTATGTAAAAATAATTTCAGCTAAAAACATTATTTGAAGCATTGTTAAAAAATCACAGAAAAATGCCTAAAAAAGCTTGAGGTACAGCTTAAAGCGGGACACTGGCTAGAGGTTGAACTTCTGAACTACTCAAGTGATCGGAATGAAATTTGCAGGGGAGAGTTAGCTTCAGATAAAATGTGCTGCACAAACTTTCAGCTCTCCAGGACAACTTCACATACCTGCATAAGAAGATGTGTCACTCTTCGATAAGAAATCTATGATATGCAAATGAAGCTATTAAGCATCATTTTAACTGTTTGAATATAAAGCGGAGGATGTGGGACTTTGGGCTATCTAGTTTTTATAACTCAAATGTAAATATTTCAGAAAAAATAACTACCTCAAAATATGATATGCATATTTGTCCTATGTCAATTTTTGAAAACATAGCTTTTTCTGAATGAGAACTTTAACTTAAAACAAGATAAAGTAGATAGCCCAATTCCCCAGTAAATTTCAGTTCAGAAACATCTTGATTGTGGTAGCAAAATAATTTTACCTTCAAACAAAAGATTCCTTCAAATGAAATTTGCAGCAAAAAGCAGAACTGAGAAAAATGCATTCAAACATTGAACTCCTTTACTTTGTTACTGCCTCACAGTGAGTTGAAAATATTTTATATCAATGTAAATATTTGGTACATAGTTATGAAATTTAGTGTATGGTTGTATAATTAATTTCTGAAACCGAAAACCTTAAAATGGATTTTTTCAAAAAATTTGAAACTTAGGCGGATGCAAAAGCATGAATGTCGTTCTTTTGCGCGTCCTCGTGAAGTGCCCGCACTGCGCTGACAAGAAGCCTTTCCCGCGCACTGGCGGTCAAGGAGCGCCATGAAGTAGCCCTCCTTGAAATCGACGTGCAGCGGCCAATAGGAGCCTTGTTCCTTGAAACTATAGCGCGCGCCAGCCAATGGGATTGAAGCCAAAATCCTTCAGATTTCAGCTTCACTTGGAGAAAGGAGTTTAGGTGCCGTTTGGCGTGGCTTCAAAGCTGACGATGTCGGCTCGCTCCATGGGACCAGTTAATGCTTTCGCATTAATATGAAAGAGTTGTGCAAGAAGCCAGGTTTGTTATTATATTTTACTTGAAATATAGGCCTACAGAAAAAAATATATCTAATTCCAGTAGACCAATAGGCGTGCTTTATACACAAGATTTTATGTTGTAGAAAGGCGTATTCTTATTCCTGTGGCCTTCAAAGTTGTGTCTTGTGCACTTGGGAAAATTGTTGTTCCACCTCCTCTCAGATGCGCTTTTTTTTTTTAACGAAAACAAAAACAATCTTTCAAAAGTAAGGGCTGTTCTGTTGTGTGGGCCATGTTTTGCTACCTCATATAAAAATTTAATTGAAAACAAAATATAGGCATGACACCCCTATGACAATCCTTATTTCAACACACCCTGAAACAAAACTAGCATTTCTGAAAAATGTTAACTACAAAATTTTTTAATAGGCAAATACTATCAATTATTCAATTAACTACACAAGAAAATGTCAATGCAGAGATATCCTTTGTGCCATGGTTTTTAATGGGGGTATGGTAAAAATGTTGGTTAGAAACGTTTGTGACAAAGTTGATATTTTATTGAAGACTGCAGCATAAATAGGAAAACAATTAGCTTTAATATGTTTGTACTTAGCATGAGAAATTATGGTACGTAGATAAGAGAGTGATATAACCAGGATGAGAAATGACAGAAAAATGTTCAACACCGGTTAAGGGTGCATACAACAACATTTTGCACATTACACCAACAATGTGGAGGCATACAAGAGCCCGGCATTACACCAGGCAGATGGATGGGAGGTTCCTGACCTTTGCTGCAAACAGGTCACCACTGCCGTCGTCCAGTACGTCTGCATCCGGCTCTGCAGGGTTCAGCTAGATTAAAAACTAGCTCAGAGACCCCAGCAAATTTCTTGAAAGGTCCAGGTTTTCTATATACCGTAAAATACCGGGCAAGCGCCCACTCAAAATATGGAGGTACTGTAATCGAGAAAAAAATAAAGGATGGGCGCTCGTCCGGTCATCAGTTTTACATATAAATGTACCGTGTGTATTTTCTCAGACCTTACAAATTTGGAAATGGGCGCTTAGTGTGGAATGGGCGGAGGCAAGGTGTTCTATGGTAGCAATAACATATACACATTTAGACGTCCACATGCCCTTCAGCCCTGAAATAAGCCCTGCACTGCTGACAGATAGTTTGGCCAGTGCAGTACACCATAAAACCCTCTACTATTCTGGACCAAATATTTTTGTGGATTAGGCAGAGAGGGCATATCTGTGGCCACGAAATTTCTAAAGCTTTAGAGGCTGGAGTTTGCATCTTTAGAGAATAGAAATATTTGCTTGCCTTTATAGTTTGTAAATTTTCAAAATCCCGAAGTTCGCGAAAATGACGGGCTTGCAAACCTTGAGGGTTTTACAGTAACTTGTGACCTGGCCTTTTCTTTAACCCAAACGATGCAAGGGTGAAGCAAATACTCAGAGTATGACACAGTGGGCACAAACAAGCAATTACGGATAGCCTAGTTTTTTCTTGCACACCTGAAATTAAAATGCGTAACTAGTGTCGTGAAATGTGCTTATGCAGAGCACCAACTTAAGCAGCAGAATTGGGTGTCTCACGCCTACGTGTCCGAGTAAAGGGCAAAGAAATCCAAATGTGTTCATGCTAACTAGTATGTTCCATAGTGTGCGTTTAGAGAAGCAGCTACCTAAATTCTCCCCAATACAGAAAAATGATTTGCATAGGAAAACATTTATTCAGTGCATTGCAAATGATGTCAAATGGTAAGTTCCTGTAAATGGTTGAGTGTGTTGGTTTCCAGTTTACGACAACGAAAGAGGGACATGGAAGACAAACAGACAACAGAGGCTTTCGACTTGCAACAAAACATTTACTGGCTTCACCTCGCCTCCGAAGCTCTACAGGGGAGCGTCAATGAGGGAGGGAGGGAAGGTGGTGGGTGAGAAAAGCGGGAGCCATGTGGCCCTGCCAGCAGCTATGCGTACACGACGGAAAGTGGGGGCCCGCTGGGTGTCGTTAGACAAGTCACCGTTAATGGGGAAATCCGGAGCCGAATCGATCTGTTAGTGCGCGCAGTCGATGTGCCGTGTTGTGGGAGCAAGAGATGCACGCAGGGCGGAAAGACCGGGGCCCAGAGAGGACCTCCTTTGGACGGCTCCTAGATTGCAGAATAAGCTTTTTGCCGATATCTCGTCTCCTTCTTCCAACTCCTTCCATCCGATCGTGGCTCACGCCGAGAGCTGCTCCTCGTGCAGCCCCGAGTTCTCGGAAAGCACAATTCTTGGGGGGCACAAATCTCAATCTGGCAGGGAAATCCTGGACTTCCTACACATTAGATCTTCTGCCTCCAACCCATCCAGCCCTTCCCCTTTGGATCGAGAGATTTGCTTCCTGCGAGGCGAGAGGGTTCCTCCAAAGACATAAAAAAAACGAAATTCCCACACCTTCTCCTCGTCTTTTCTCCGCGTCCTTCCCCTCCCTTTTCCCTCCCTTCCCAAGAATGCACTGCCGGCACTCAGGGCCCCATGTAATGGTCGGGAGGCAAAGTGAAACCAGTAAACATATTGTTGCAAGTCGAAAGACTGTGTTTTCTGTCTTCCATGTACCTCCCTCGTTATCGTAAAAAAGGTGAATTCCCCTCGCCTGTTTCAGGCGGATAGAAGAGAACATCAAGATGCCTCCTCTTTTTTCTGCATTAAGACATACATGGTGTGACAGTCTTTTCGCAGTTTGCTTAGATATGGCATTGACATGAAACTTGACAGCCTCAGCTAGTGCTCCGGATATGTGCATTGCAGCACACCGGTAGAAGCTTTGATGATCGCATTTCAGCTAAAAGACAAAAAAGAAATAAAACAAATGCCCCGCAAACAGGTTCGAGCACACACCTAGGGTACTCTCAACTCAAAGATGGACGAGCAAAACATTGGTTGATTGACATTCACTGAAAACAGAAACTCTGTTCTATCATATGGACTAGGGTTCCATGTTTTCGGATAAATCCAAAAAACTCCAAAAAAACAGCCGCCGGTAAAACTTTGGTCACTTTAGATTTATTGAATGTGCCAATGCATCAAAATTCTTTTTTCTTCCTTCAACCCCCCTTCCCCCTCCCCCCCCCAAAAAAAAAGAAAAAAGATGGTACTATTTTACCATTAAGTTTCATCAGTAAACAGAGTCAGTGCTGGAAAAATGCTGCCACAGCCATCTTTCAAATTTCGGACCACTGTCGAAAAGGGTCTTGTCAAGGTTCATTCAGGATCACAGGTCATTGTACTTTCGGGTCACGACAAAAGTCACTGTTTTGGCTTCCAGTTTGAGCCATACAGTTTGTGCTTTAGAGGAAGGAGAATATGTTTTTGCAACAGTGAAAGCTATGGACCATGGAGATTGCATAAAATGGGGAAGAGGGGCAGTTGGAACTTTCTTATTAGAGTAGCATCCTTTACCACTCCACCTCATGCGGCCGCAGGGTAGGTTGATGGAATATGAGAGGGATGAATTCGAGCTTCCCAGCAACTACCTACCTCCAAAAGCTTGATTTTAATGTGTCGACGTTTATCGAAGAAACACTTGTGTGCAACTTTGGTTGTGGGCTCAAGCTCAAGAAATATTAATTGACACAAGCACATTTTTTTTTTTTTTTTATCTAGCATATGTTTACTTGTTTCCCCCATGTAGGCATTGGACCTCCTGAAGCCACACAAGCCGAACCTTAGGATCAACCTTCACGAGTTCGGGTGAGTTTTTATCTAAGCATGGTGCAACGGCAAGGGGAAGACTTGGTGGAACTATTCTACATTCAATTCGTAGATATTTGGACAAAACCACTATCCGGCTCAAATTCAAAATTTGCTATGTACAGTTAAACCTCGATGTAACGAAGTCGGTAAAATTCGCAATTTACTTCGTTACATTGAAATTTCGCTAAATCGAAATTTGGCTTTAGCATGCAAAAAAAAAAAAAAAAAAAATTCCGAAACATTTTACGGGTATGAAAACTCACCGAAAATTACATTTATTTTGGGGCAAAGTCGTCCGCGAGTTTTGCTTGCGCCTTGTCCGACAGTAGCAGCGGCGTCATACGACGTTCGAGCGCCCAAAGCGCTTGCACGGCATCCTGCTGCCTATGCGACGCCGTGTACCTCCTCAGTACGTCCATTGCGTCGAGCACTTCCCGAGTGCTCGTGATCTCAGCACTTTCTTCAGGATGGCGTCCAAAACGTTTGCTTTCACATCCAAAAAAAGAACTTTACGTTTCCTTATGCCAGCAAGCACGTGAGTGAACCGCTCGGTTGAAAAATAAAGCTGTTTAGTTTAGGCGGTGCCAATGTTTCCAACCTACACAGCACTCTTGCCCTCACAGTTTACTTGCCCCCTTGCGCTCATGGTGTGCTTGCGCCTTTGCTTTACATCACGGTCGCTTACACCCTGGTCTTCTCCTAGATGGCACTGCCCGTGCGGTCGCGTCGCGCCATGACGTCGCTCCCCCGCTGAAGTTGGCTCCCGCGCTACCCGCGGTACAGTGGACTATGATGATCAGTGAATGTCAGTGGTGATGCTGTTATGCCGTGTAAACTTTTTGCTCGGCATTTTCTGGCCAGCCCCGCGGAATCCACTTTGCCGCATGCCTCGCCGGCACTACCGGCGCCGCATCCTCGGGCTGCCTAGGAACTTATTGGAAGGCCTGTCCCCGTGAAGTAACCTTTCAACGCGCTCGCGTTTGCGCATAATTTTTTTTTTAACCACCATTTTTTTTTGCGAAGTTGTTTTTTAGAGTCTATTTATTTATTGCCTTCTATGGCAATGGCGCTTCGTTATATTGAAATAGCAGCAAAATGGACTTCGTTATATAGAGACTAAAAATACATGGGGTCTATGGGCAAAAAATTATGAAAAATAAAATACTTCGTTAAATCGAGGATTTCGTTACATTGAAGTTCGTTATATCGAGGTTCGACGTATTTGCACGTGTCTACATGTTTGTATTTGCTTCGAATTTTCTTATTTTTTGTAGATTTGCTCTTGAATGTTTTTCAGTCGGCACGGAATTTCAGTTTCCCACACATAAGGCTTACAGCTATTTATGGGCACTATGAAAAAATTGGGTATTATTATATTACTGTACCATTTGGGTCGTAACACCAAATGGATGCAGCTTGTATGAGATGTTCACGAGGAAAGAAAATCAAACTCTGTGGATGTTTGTACATCGAAAAGTTGGCCTGCCCACACATGACTGGGTGAAACTGGTTCTAGGCTTGTCGCACAGACAATGCTTGAATGGAGTCGGTGCAAAGCACTCACCCTCGAGGACACCGCCAACCCTCCCGAGCCGGTGCTTGAGCTCGTCTCCAAAGAGAGTGGAGCCTCCGAAGAGAGAAACTCCGCCCACGGGTTTCTTCTGGCTGGACGAATCTGCAACCGGCTGGCCAGACTGCCAAGAGAAACGACCTTTTCACACACATGCACGGAGCGGGACAGAGCGCCCCAAGAAGTTGCCTACACTGCGGAGCTAACTGCAGGAACTAGACTAGGCATTGCCGACGAGACATAGATTCGATAACATCCTGAATTCCAGCCTCTCAACAACAGCGCTAATCATTTGAAACCATTAACATCTGGGTCCTCACAACTAAACTGTCAGAACACTAGAGCAACACGGGAATTTTAAAAGCTCTTTCAGTGGTGCCGATACCTGATATTCTTAAATAGTATGTATCTAAAGGCAAAGAAATATTGCACTCTCTCCAGTGAATCAAAGGATCAAATACACTGGTAACCGCTTTATGTCATCACTCTTATGCAAATAAGCATTGCAGGTCCTTGTCTCATTCGAGTCCAGCTAGGACCGACCCGCTTCCTTATGCCCCGAGTCAGCATGTGCAGTTCCTGGTCTCGTGCGCCTAGCTCATTCTGGCCACCGGGCATAGCCATCCGACACTACACGGTATCTGACATCCTGAAGAGAAATGTGGTGTGCAAACATTAATTGGGTGCAATTAGCCTTTCGCTATAGAGTTGCGGACCCCTGCCAAAAAAACCAAGAGTGCAATGTCCGAACCTTTGCGGCTCCGTGCAAGTCACCTGGACTGTTGCAGTCCCCACGCATATTACGCTCAGCGTTAAATCAACACATGTTTGGCTGAAATTAACCCATCTCTGGTAATTACTATGTAAAAGCGAAAGAAAAAAATGAGGACAAAGAAATAGAAGTGAACACACGGAGCGCTACTGACAACTGAATTTTATCTGGGAAACACAAACGTGTAGACGCTTTGCACATGCACCAGATGAAAGCCGCCGCTGCTGACCTTCTCATGTCTTCCCCAGGTGCCAAGCTAGTGAAGAGGGCATTGACAAGCTTCTACAAAGGCCATTGCTGGGGAGAAGGACACAGCAGAATCTAAAATGGCAATAATCTGCCCTGCCGTGGTCCTGATCAAGTGAAGTAAACATAATAAGAGGAAACAAAAACTGAGGGTCGGTTATGGTGTCACAAATGCAAAAATACAAAAAAAAAGATAGTTCTTGCAACAAAATATTTTTTTTTGTGGTTAACCTTGCACCCACAGTATGGTGCCTAGAATGCATCTCTACTCGTGTTTATTGTTGTTTGTGGGCTTTATGGCGCAAGAGCTCCAAAGGCCATGCTGTACCCAGCAAGATAAACTAGAAATCACTAGAAAGAGTACACTAAAAATAGAATTTGACTATAGTTTGTATAAAATTCCTGCATTTGCTAAAAAAGCTAACAAACGGCCAAATGATATGAACTGCTCCTCTAGGAAGTGGGTAGGATGGAACGGGATGCAGTACAGTCAAATGCGAACGCCTCTACTATGGAAATGCTCGTTTAATGAAGTAAAATAAAGTCCCAGCCAACCTCCTATGTTCAATGTGTTTCCCAAACTACAAGCAAAACAAATTCCTGCGTAACAAATATTTCTGTTTAATGAAGCCATTGCACAGCCCCAGAGAGCAAAGACAAGTTGCTTTTCAATGCTCCGTTCAAAGCAATGCGCGCACTCCTTTTCTTATTTTACATGTATGTCGGCGCATTTGAAAGGACCCGTGTGAACAGGACTCGTGTGAACTTTTCATGGGCAGTCGCAACTTTTTTATGCTGTCTTCGCATTTGTTTAACCAACACGCCAATCTTCATCGGGATTTAAGACTCCCAATCTGGCTCGATCCGAGTCCCAAAATATTCCGCCTCGCAGTGATAATGTGCGGCCGAGGAAACAATCTGCCACTATTCGTGGGGTCAAAACTTAAACGAAATGAGTAGAGCCGCACGAAAAGAAATGCAATCCTCTTTTGGTGCTGGACAGATGTGAAAAAGGGCTCAGTAGGCTAGGTTGTGCGCCTCTCTCCATCCTTGCTGCGCCGCGCGCTGCAATGCTGTCGTGTACCGACTGTGCGGACAGCATTCTCAGTTCCGTTGGTTAATGAAAAAGCGGTTAAAGTACAGGCGAGCTGGTGGATATTTACCATGATGGAGCTTAACCCGAGACAGGGGTAGAAACAGAAACTTAAAAGTAGAAGGGACAAAGACAAGTGAAGAAGAGAACGTTGGTTGTTGTTTCTTTTTCTTTTTGCCGCCTTTCGCAAGCAGTTTCGTTTGCTTAGAGGGCTTCTCCGCTCCTTTTTCTTACCTCCTTGCGCGCGGCGCGCGACCCCCCGTAACCAAACTGCGCTGTGAAAAAAAAAAAAAGCTCTTTTTTGTTTTTGTTTTCTTAGTTCCGCGTTTTTTTTTTTTTTTTTTTTTGCCGCCTTTTTCAAGCTGTTTTGTTCACTTAGAGCGCTTCTCCGCTTCTCTTTCTTACCTCCATGAATCCTGACTGCGCTGTGAAAAAAAAAAAAAAAAAAGCTCCTCTCCATGTTTATTTTTTTTTCTTGCTTCCGTTGCATCTTTTCGAATTTTTTTAACGCCTTTTGCAAGGCGTTTTGTTCGCCCATGCTGCCCATGCATTCGCGACCTCGCTGCACCAGGATAGAAAAGTGCGTTCATTTCGCGCGCGTGGGGGGAGGGGGTCAAAATTTTTACGTCCAAGGAGGGGGTGCGTTTATTACGCGAGTGAGTTCATTGTGCGAGTAAATACGGTAATGAGGTCTGGCTTGATGTTACGATTCTTGTTATTATCGGCCAAGTCCCATTCAGACTGCCGCCGCCGTAAAAGTGCAAGCCCGACTTCTAGCGTGTCTTCTGCATCCAAAAAAGTGGTCCCTCGATTTACACTCGACGTCCTAAAAGTGTCACGCCGCCACTTGTTGCAATCATGGTAGCGTCGCGGCATTGGTGGCTCGTGGGCGACGCAGCAGACGCTGGTTTTGCTGTGGGATCACTTTCGACATACGGCTGTAATGGGACACTAAACATACTGGTCGAGACTTGTCCCACACACCGTACCCTAGGATTGGTTCGTGTCGAAGCGATCTAGACAGGCACGAAGGCCTTCCCCAGACACCGGCCGGCCATGCAAGCGAGTCACCTCGGTCGGGGCAAAGAGGTCCACGTCCTCGTCGGCGACTCCCCCAAAGAGCTCGTCCTCTCGCTCGAACAAGAACCGGCTGCCGCTCCTCGCCTGGCGACGAAATCCCGAGAGAGAGAGAGGGTTGAGCATTAATGGTGCCGCTCGGACACGCTAGAAAAACTGCAGAAACGTCCGCCCAAGCCAAGACGAAGGACTCACCTTTCCGACTTGTTCAGAGGCCGCCTCTCCCCGGACCGACGCCGGCTCCGCATCTCCCTTAGACTGCAACGAGACCCGACGCATCACGTTGGTCCCCTTTTGACTCCATTGCAAAGTATAAGGACGTGGTCGCACTCTTAGTACGTCATGCAAAAGACAGACTGCAGACACGTACGAGTCATGCACGAAGCAAACAGGCTTCGAACATGCTAAGGAACATCCGCAGACACTCCCACCCTCGTACCTGCGGCAAATGCCGTCTTTCGTAGGACTACATGTCCATGGCTTTATGGATTGTACGAAAGGAGACGAGGTACTTTAGAGCTTTTCTTATCTTTAATACTAGGATGTTGACCAGATTTTACGTCGCAGTGCACGCAGATTTCGAATATCCAATCACATATTGAATCTGCGCTAGAACCCGAATTAAAGGAAGCCGATTTGATTTAATTAGCTCGTTAGTTACAGGTCACTAAGAGAAACATCCAGGTGAAATTACAAATTTTCCGGGACTGCTCTCGCACAGATCGGTACTGCGGGGTGATGCTATTTTATGTCTGTCCCGGGGGTACATCTTTCTAGAGAAATCTGTAATCGTAGAATAGAAATGCAACCCTCGATGCAGGAGACAATGAAACTAGCATCAGCACGCAGCTCTATTCCTCCAAATTACTAGAACGATACCGGCGTCATTAATTTTGCTTGAAAGAAACTTCAGAAAAAAACTCTCAAGGCATTCGTATTACCGAAAAAGCACGAACCGAGAAAAAGGCTGTTGAAGTTGGTAGGTTCCAAGTGGATGTTCATGGACAATTAGGACTGTTGAAGCATTCTTTTATATATTTACCAACTCGAGATAGCGATAAAATTTAAAAAAAAAGTAGTTGCTCAAGATAAAACAAACAATTTCTTCACATGAAGCGATACACTTGGTAAATCATTTACCTACATTCCACTAATTAAGTTTCGGAATATTCCCCTTGGTTGCCACATTCCAAATAGAGGTGCGTTGTGAGTCTCCAAAATACGATATAGCCGAGAATTCGGATGACCAAACGACGACAAAGGCCCGTTCACACAATCGCGTTTGCTGTAGACCGAGGGTTCGCGATCTCTTACGAGAGATCACGCAGGCACGCCGGCACCATCTATATGGAACTGCATGTCACTGGAGCGAAGGTTCTGCGGTATATGAGAGTTCAAATGTACATACTACCTACGAAAAATAGTCGTTTATAGCATTGTCAAAACTTTTCTGGGCAAAAAAGGAAAAAAAAAAAATGATGCGCAAAAGATGCAGGAAATACAGAAAGTGTTCTACCCAAGATATGGCACCAGTGCATTCTCTGGTCATAAACAGCTGCAAGTGCAAGAGAAGGACACGGCGTAAGCTCCACCCACCCCAATGCTCCAGGAGGAGCTCTGGATGCTGTGGCTGCTCTGGCTGTCCGCCATGTGCGTGGGCGGAGTCCTGTCCGCAAACAGGTCCTCGTCCGCTTCTTCCTCGTCGAACAGCGAGATCGACTCGCGCGTCGGCTTCCTCGCGGCAGCCGGCACCGGCTCGGGCTCCTGCACGGACGTACGGCCGGTAGACGTCGCGTGGTCGGCTCGGCAGAAAGAACGTCGGAATCGAAACTAAGAAAGTAAACGTACGTGCAACTGTCGACGCGCAAATATTTATCGTCACACGCGCGTTTATGCGGCAATCGCCCGCACACCACAGGTCGGACATTTATGCGCGACGGTACACCAGTCACCTAGAGGCCACGAGTTGACCTTCATCTCGGGTGGAAAAGCTCGCTTATTCTTTTCATTCTTCAAACGAGTTTCCGCCTTTCGGTTGCCACGGGCTTTCGGTTGCGTGGACGTCGAGCCAAACAACGCTTTCCCTTTGACTTGAACTGGACAATCCGAAACCCCTACACAATTTCGTCGGCGACATAAACGCCGTCGTCGAAAAGAGACGAAAGAACCGACCTCCTTCTTTTGTGGCTCTTGCACTGGCACGTCGTCTTCGAAGAGGAACAGTCCCCTCGAGGCAGCCCTCCTGGGAAAGAGACCCCGTGAGAACCGTCCCCCCGTCTGGGATGCGGGGGTGTAGCCCACCCTTTGGCCAAGAAGGGCCCGGCCTCGGCGCCTTCCGAGGTCCCCCCGTCCGACGAACTCGGCCAGGGCTCGGCGGCCCCGGGGCCTCCGGGTGCGGGGACGGCACTCGAAAAGATGTCCTCCTCGGAGTCGTCGAACAGAAACGACTTGGCCGGCTTTGTTTCCGGCTTTGTTTCCGCCTTCTGGCTGTCGCGACTGGAAATGAGAGAGGAGCCAAAAAACGTGTACAAAATGTCCCCCCCCCCCAAAAAAAACAACCTTTTTTTTTATTATTTTAAAAATAAACTATGCGTTGCAGAACACTCATTCTCCACCCAAATGTAGCGCTAGCTATCCAAACCGAACACCAAAGTTTCAGAACTAGCCGCTATCTCATTAAAAAGATAAGAGATTTTCCAAAATTTTTTAATAGGAAATTGGAGGTTGACGGACTTCTCGATTACATGGAGCTGAATGGCGTCAGTTACCAAGAATGGGCCCAATTTTCCGACTGGGCCCACTCTTTCCACTGTAACCTTTACGAAATCACTTACAACTTTTGAAAGAGATAACGGTTGGTTCACAAACTTTGGCGCCTGGCTACCACTAGCGCTACATTCGGATGAAGGCCGAGCATTTGGCAATGCGTCGTTTATTTTTTAGGCTAAAAACAAACGACACTTACAATTATCTGTAATGCCGAATTAGAGCACAGCTCTTGAGGAGGAGGAGGGGAGGGTATGTCCCTGCTCCCCATCTGTTCTCTCCCCTCCTCAACTCCTGCTCCCCTCCCATTTGGATGGAAATTTTAGCTAAATTCCCCACTAAATTAAGCAAAAATTTCCACACTAATTTATCAAAAAGCTTTCCCGCCAAATTCAGTGAAACATTTTCCCGCCCAGTTTAGCGGGAAAATCTTACCCTTGCGACGTCACACGTGACATTATTATGGGGAGTTGAATTGAGTTTAAAAGTCCAATGCGCTCAATCCAAGTTTAGGTATTTCATATTTATGCAACTAAGTTGACTCGATTGCAGGTTGACCTTTCGCCACTGCACGCGTAAATAAAGCAAGAAACTATACTCGTGGGTGCGTCCGAAGGCACGTTGCTAAAACAAAATCTTATAGCTTGCAAAAACAACGACCGAAGAACCCCCTTTGGTCGCTCGGAAGGCGTGAATTGGGACAGAGTAGCGAGAAGCGTCTCATATCTTGCCGATCTGCCCGGCTGCACTTCTTTGCATTTACGTATGCTACATGAAGTCGAGATTAGGAAAAAAAGACATCTCACAAAACAAGCGCAGAACGACACAATAATCATTTAAAGCGATAGAGCAAACATGAATCGTGGACAAACCGGGGTGCTTCCGGTAGCTTCATTGTTCCGGCTTAGGGGTGACATTCTAATTATAAGATCAGCCTCCCTCCCCTCTCCCCTCCCCCTCCCTCCCTCCCTCCCTCCCTCCCTCCCTCCCTCCCTCCCTCCCTCCCTCCCTCCCTCCCTCCCTCCCTCCCCCCCCCCCCCCGCCACTCCCCTCCAGTTCCAGTTTGCAAATCCAAATAACACGGGTAGACCTACAGTTATCATGCAAATACGGCCAACACCTCGTAAGAGGCCCCCTTTAAGAAATGCTCTCCCAGGCAACTTGCGATTCGGACAAAGTAACCTCTTTGCCGCCACACTTACTTCGAAACGAAGAGGAGGTCGTCGTCGTCTTCGAAGAGGCCACCGGGTTTTGAAACTTGGGTTACCCGCAGGGTTTCCTCTTCCTTCACCGGAGGCGGCGGTTCCTTTAAAAAAACCCAAGTGTTAATCTCCATTGCTAAACGGCTGTTTTACAGGGACAGCTCAGCGTCCCTGCACTCCTTCATCAGAGTATCAAAAGACTGCAGCAATCTTAAGGCAAGGACTCTTGCACGCCTCAAGCTCGGATGGCAATACCCAAGTATTGCTATCCCAGCTTGAGTCCATACCACGCGCATTCTCTTGCGTCCACATACTCGTGTCTGCTGTTTTAAGATGGAAAGACAAGACATTCTGCTAGGAGGCTTTTTTTTTAAACGAAAGGCCATCACACTTGCGGGAAAAGATAACAACGGAGCAGCACTGCGTGGCCTCCCAATCCCAGCGACCCGACGAGCTCGCAAAATGGAAGGCGACCCTCCCAGAGGCGATGGTCGCGCACTTGTACAAGTGCAAGAAGCGTGGCACCTAAAACATTTTAGACGAAAGCAAGGATTACCTCTGTGGAGAGCGAAGAACCATTGTCGGGCTCCGACAATGGCGACTAGTGCATGGTACTGTATTTTTGAATTGGAGTGTGTTTCATAAAATGTTTTATGAGCTGAGGTATGTGTTTAACCCTCACCATTATACATGCACAATAGAATGCGCAGCAATTTACTTTCTGAATATCTGGGAGCTAAATCTGCCTGCGTGTTAGGTTTGGGTGTGCGTTAGAATTGTGCAAACACGTAGTTCTATGTGTAACGTAAATGGCAAGGGTTTATGGAAAAATGGCTACAATACCTGCAAATGTAGGCGACTAAACATGACTTCTCTGAATGTTCAGGGCATGTCCCGCACGCGGATCACTCGCTATTTGCCCAAACATTCATTCATAACCGAATATTTCGAAATTTCCGAATATGCAATTCTCGAATCGAATACAAATCGAACAAGAAAAATATTCTATTGATATTCGAATATTCACACAGCCCTACAAATTATGAACACAATAGTGCTGGCCTACAAAAGCAGCATGCTGCTTGTGCACAGAGCCAGGCAACCAGCAAAAATACATGTACAAATATGGTTGACGTAAACAAAGTACCGTATTTACTCGAATGTAACGCGACCACGATTGTAACACGAGAAGTGACATTTCGCAGCGCCCACCCCCCAAAAAAAGGAAAGAACAAAAATGTAACGCAAACTACAAACTACGAACTCTGGCACTTTTTCTTTAGTTTTGTGTGACGAGCACAACGAGGTCCGCGGAAGCCTTTTCGGCTGGGCTCACACTTGAAGAGCGCTTCACGCTGGAGCCTCCACTTACGGATAGTCAATTCTGTCACATCTAGCCATGGAGCAGCGGCAGAGTTTCCAATTTCCTCAGCCATCAGAATTGCACTTCTTTTAAAGCGGGCATTGTTACTGAGCTCGTCGCATTGCCATTTGCTCGAGTCCAAAGTTGCGGAAGCACAAAATTGTGCTTCGACGATTGGATTGGATGTTGCCAGCGTGTGCTATGTGTTGCCGGCACAAGACTGAAAGATCGAGAGATTTGTCAGAGTCATTTTGAAGGCCTGCGCTGCGGACAGCGCCAAGGCAAATTTTGAGGCGTTTCGGTTATAACACGAACCCCCAAATTAGGTAAGGGAAATTTTGAAAAAAACTCGTGTTACATTCAAGTAAATACCATAAATACAACAAGTGCGTGCTCGATGTAAACAAGCAAAATGGAATGCATGCATTCTCGATGTAAGCAAGGAAGATACACGAATATGACAGACACTAAAAAATTCCATGTCGAAAAAATTGTGTAGAAAGAAAGCCAGAAAGAATAAAATAATAACTGGGGATCTTAAACCTCTCTGTCCATCATAAGATACTCTAGGGATCTAAACCTCGCCACAAGGCTTTTTCCTTACGAACATCAAGTTTAGAAGTAGAATCATAGCAATAACTTATATGCGTAACCTATATATGCCGATAACATAAGATTGCAAGCCGATTAACCAGTTTTCGGAAAAAAATATTTTTCCGAAAGCTTTTATTGTGCCCGTCTGTCACGGATTTAATGTTATTTATATAATTATATAATTTATGAACAAACCTCATTGATACGAATATGTTCTTGGATGATATATTTTGCCGGCCGTTAAGGTTCACAAACACTGGTCCTGTTTGGCTCCCACAGGGATATGCAAATTAATTTCCCGTTCGTTGCGTTTGCCTTTCCAGTAGTCAAATTCAAAAACTGACACTTGAAGTGGCCGACGCAACTTGTTGGCCCACCCGGCCGTGGCTACCCCTCTTTCTTGCGCGACTTTGACCTTCTGGGCTGCGCTTCCTGTTTGAGCAGGCATGACCTCGGAGAAGAGTCGAAAGAGATTCGGGCTTTTGTAAGAGCCCGTTCAACTTTCCACCCCTTTCTTTGGCGTATGTGCATTCGCTTACTTCGGTCGCGCTTGGTTCCCCTCATTCCACCAGTTTCATTCTGCGAAGAGCTCAAGTTAGTAATCGTGCATTGCGAGCAGTGCACACGCATCGGGCCTTACCAATTTTGCACCAGTTCGCACGCATCGAGCTTCACCGCTTTACACCGGCGCCATAGGAGCAATGGCCAACACGGGGGACCAGCTAAGTCGGTCGATGGGCTCGGAAATTATGCTTACTCTTGAGGCCGACATTCTTTGCTTACAATTATTAACGGAACCCTAAGTTTAAAGAGCAGTTCACCAAAAAGAGGTTTAGGCCTAAAATCTAAAAAATATGGCAGTACTCCACAGTTGCGAAACTCCAATTAAAATAAATAGGTGCATGAGAGTTGCTTCTTGCCTGATCTATAGAGCCTTCTCAAGAACGTTATCAGCTGCTGCATATTCCCAAGTCGTAACTCTTTTTACAAGGTCCCTGGAAGAATGTATCAACAAAATCCTACTTTATTCCTGAAGGGCGCATCGCTTCACAAAGGACACAAGCTTTTAAGCTCCTACAGGAGTCCGAGACCATAGTGCAGTCCAAGATGTGTGCGATATTGAAAAAAGGTTAGCAAGTTATATGGAAACAAGAGGCTCACCTTTGCCAATGCTGATGTTTCCGTCTTGACACTGTTGGGCAGGCTGCTAGGTTCCTGAAAATAACAAGTTTGGTTTCATCGCAAGGCTCACGCATTTGTTCGATTAAGCTTACGGCCTCAAAAATGTATCCTGAATCATCCAAATTAGGGGTGGCCAAGAACCTCGTTCAACCCGGAAAATTCTGAATCGGTCACTCGGGAGAGCTATGTGCAAAAGCTGCAAACTTAAAATTGGCTCAACTAATTTTAAAGCATCAGTATTAGTTTTGGATCTTACCTCTTCATGTCTTTTAAGATTATTTTCTTAGGCAATGCTTCAATTTTATGTGCGGTTCGATTCATTGCGATTCTGTACACCACTGGCGTAACCACAGGCTGTGCCTATGGGGCATCAGCCCTCCCCCCCTTCCCGAAATTCAGCCGACCCTATAATATACACGTGAAGTTTGACCCCCGCTCCCCAGGTCATGAACATCCCAGCCAGCTCAGCCCACCTCAAAAATAATTCCGCCTATGCCACCGCTGTCTACTTGCGACCTTAAAAAGAAAGTCCCTCTCTAAAGGCACGAAACGGGATCAAGACAGGGGGACAGCAATAGAGAACTATCAGCGGACAACCCAAAACCATGGCGAAAGATGCTAGGCAGTTCTTGACTCACTCGTGCCTACATCAGCTGCACTAGATCCCACCATAATTTTATGTAATCCCTCATCAAGGCCCCAAAGCTGCATTATACATTGAATGATGAGTGGTGTGACATCCCGTTTGCAAGCAGTATTCACAATGCATTTGCAATATACTATATATCCATAAAGTGCTCACACATCATTTGAAAGACAAAGAAAGAACTCTGTTTATATAAACTTGGGAGCGTGTTGGTTATTGGACAAAGACGACAGAAAGAATAACACATTTTGTTTATTCACCCCTTTTAGCTGTAAAAATACCAGTCAGTGCTGTGGTCTGAACTCAAATTATCTGTCCCAGTGCATCGATCCTTTGAAGCTAGGCAAAGAGATTTACTGGGGTGAGCCATCGCTCCACACTACCTTCTCAAGAGCAAAAAGTTGAACAGAAAAACGAGTGGGCCATCTCTAGGGACGTAGTAAGGCAATTCCCTCTAAATAATCATGATATTTAAACCCCGAGACTGGGAAGGAATCTTCAAGCCAAAAAAGAAGGAAAAGAAGAAAGTGGACAGACAGCGTCTTAATGCTGATGTTGTCTGTCTGTTCCCATTCTTCTGTCCCTTCTACTTTGTCTTTAGGTTTCTTTCCTAGTCTCAAAGTTTAAATTTCACGATTAATATGCACCAGCTCGTCTGCACTTGAACCATTTTCTTCTTTCTTAATAACAATGTTTTTTTGTCTGGCCACATCAAGCAGTCTGTTCAAGATGGCATCAAAAAAAAAAAATATTCAAGTGCATTCACGCTATCGCATAACGTGGGTTGCAGGACAATAACTTGGTGCTCGCGTAATTCGCTATAATTGTGTTGGCAACGTTTCTGTGTCTCTTCCTGAGCACGAGTCTTAGGATTTTCGTGCCATTTTCACTTCCACTCTTTAATTCCACTCCTCTACCTGACCCGTACTCCATCTACGACGAGCCCCCTAATGCGCCGTAACCAAAAGTCTTATTCTTCGAAGCCATTACAACCTTTCCGAGGTCTAGTCAAAATGGCATGCAAGTTTGTCTGCTCAGGCTGCCGCACGCTTGCGCCGACACAACTGGGTGTCAGCTACGGCCACTGTCAAAGCGTCTCTTTCGAACGCCCGGCCTCCAGCAGGCACTGGTTGCTTTTCGAAGCGTGCACTGGCTGCATGTGCACGCTCGAGGCACAGGGAGTTTTCGCGAAGGACTCAATTCCCCGAGGAGGTTCCCAGTTGTCACTGTACAACTCGACCGACACAAACCTTTTTGACGGGGGCCCAGAGGTCGTCCTCCTCCTCCTCGTCAAACAGCCCGCCCGCAGAGAATGTCTTGGGTGCAGGCTTGGAAGGCGCAGGCGCTGCTACGAATTGGGAAAACGCGAAACGAGCGAAAAGGTTAAGTTGTGCTGATGCCCCCTGCTCTAAGTGAGCTGCTTTTCTCTACGATTTGGAGACTGAGGCATCTAACAGGCAGGGCTTTCAAGGTGGCATCATTCTTTGGAAATGGCACTACCAGCTGACCAGGTTTACAGTAGGTCGTTAATCCAGAAACTTATCTTATAAAATAATTAAATTTAAAAACGCATGCTTAGTAGATATGCATGCTTACGGATACCAATATGAGTGCATAACTTTGTTTTAGAGAAAACAATACTAACGCCATTATGGCAAACCACAGGTCTTAAAGGGGTCGTGAAACGTCTTTCCGGAATTCTGAACAATACTAATCTTTGTTCTTCGTTATATGACCCCCATTCAATCTTTCGATGGTCGAGATTTATACAGGCATAAAAAAGACAAGTTCAGTTTCCCTGGGAGCTTCCCTCTCAGTTCTACAAATACGTCACGATAGGTAACCACTGCGGAAGGCAAGTTTGTCCGCTTCTTCCGCAGGAATTGCCGTAATGTCAGAGCACCAAGCTTTTATTAGCCGACTGAAAAAAAATGGTAGGTGGACCACAAGGCATCTAGCATTGAGGTCTACCCACTATCCTTCCAATCAAAGCCAATCTGAGCTCGGCATTATTCTGATGTCACCGCAACTCCTGCACAAGCAGCAGACGACTTGGTCTCTGTGCAAGGAATTCTTGTTGTCTGCGTAAGATGGCAACAAAGACCAAGCTCTGAGGGCGAAGCTAGAGCGTCAGATATCGCGCCCACAGAGGTGCCATAATGACATCACTCACACAAGTCAAGGGATGACATCCAATGTTATGCTCAGATACTCGTAAAATGGCCGACCTTCGTGGTCGGCTTTTAGCTAGGTTTCGAGCCGCACGTCGACACTTTAGGTTGTTTGTACTACCGTATGTCGCACTACAGAGGGGAGTCCGATGGAATTGTTTGCAAGTTTGATCAGTCGAGCCATATCCCGATACGATCGCCAAATGACGAGCAGCAAATACATTCTTGCTTCGATCAGATAATTGCTCATCCGCTCTAACAAAAAAGACGAGAAGGCTGTAAAACTAAGCGAATTGAATTGCTTTTGTGTGTTTGAGAACCGGTATGTCAAGTTGCTGCTGAAGAAGATTGTGGTAAAGAAAAACTTGTGGAAAACTCGCAGCCGGTCGTTGGAAAACCGGGAAGACTAATAGTACAACGTCCTAGGACCACGCCAGTGAAAATAAGTGGCCCAAAACGGATGTGCCGACAGTTGAGAGGTCACGCATGCGCTTCCCTCCTTTCTAGTGATTCTGCAAAGTTCTGAGTTTGAATCCTCCGAGGATAATATTTTTTGCTTCACTTTGTGCTTTATTCAGGGGTGGAACTCATGAAATGTACTTGGGAGCAGCTACGGGAGCAGCTGAAACAGCTGTTTTGGGAGCAGGTTGGGAGCAGCTAAAACTACATTCTGGAGCAGGCTAGGAGCAGCTCAGATCAGTTTGCATTGCACTTAAGCTTGTATCTTAGACAAGCACGAAAGCATTTTCAATTGTGCTTAGCAGCAGAGATGAACATGAGCGGTTAGGGACCTAGGTAGAGGGGATAACAGTGTAATATATGCGAAAACTTGAATTTTTGTGAGCCTTAATGAGAATCAAACAGCAAGTACTCTATGTTTCTGAAGATAGCGTCCTTGATATCTTCTGAGTGGCCTTCAGACGCTCAAGATGCAAACCAGCTCTGCTTATCGCAGAACCCACACGTGCTCGACATAGTAATTATATGTGCGAACCACGTAGCGTGCGTAAACAACGGACGTGCAGTTGCACGGAGGAACAGGGCAACAAATTTCGAGTTTATCCTATTGTGCAACTCGATATCGAAGCAGCAGACTACGATTAGCGAAGTTATCGTATTTGAAGCGACAAGCAGGAGCAAGGTTAAAGTACGCCGAGCAGATAAGTAGAGCTGCTGACCGGCAAGGTTTCGGATCGGACCGCGTTTCAGTTCTATCAAATCACGATTTATCTTGCAAGAATGCGGTTCCAACTCCTAACGATGAAGCACTAAAAGGAATATTTTGCTCATTTGCTTTCGACTGGATGACGTCCGGATCCCGGGCCGCAGAGCCTCATGCAATCTGACGCTTAACGACTCTACCTCACCTCGGCCTACTTGCCCTACCGCTTATGGTTGAAGAGTAACAATCCAGTCGCAGGTGGTGTAGCGCTTAGAATCCGAGTTTTTTCGCGCGCTTCCGACTCGGGATAGACAAGGGGAATAAACAGAACAAGGGATTGCAAGCCCGACCAGGCTAAACGCCCTCATTGTTGACAATCGAGTCGATAAAAACCGAAACCAAGACAAAATAAAACTTTTTTTTTGGGCGGACGTTTTGCGATTTGGCGCATAATGGCGCGAGGTATTGGCTTTGGCGCAGTTTCTGCAACATGGCGCAGGATGGCGCAGACACATGCGTCTGGCGCAAAATGGCACAAATGGCGCAGCCGTTCCACCCCTGTTTATTATAATTCTAATCCACAATAAGTTTGTGAACTGCATTCCACAACAAATGTGAGTTGCAGCGGGACGGGCAGCATGATTACGACAGTTACCAAACAACAGAAGACGTGGATATTTTTGAAACCGAAACTGTATTCCAATCATGTGATGTGGTGGTGTCCAACTAATATGAGAATGCCAAAAAATAACCCAATGTTTTTATCACTCCCAATTATTTATTTGAAGATTAAATATATCTGCTCAACTTTTCCACATAGCTACCATGACGTTTTGTTACTCATGCTGCCATAGGGTGTCGCATGGTCGTTTCAGAAAGTCCAAAAAACATGATTTTTAAACGCGGTTTATAAAACGCAGACGCAAAATTTCGTAGTAATACTTGGGAATCAATGTCTTTGTGGTTTAATGAATATAAGAAAATTAAAATCTGGCAGGCGCATCTTCTTTTTGAGACCCCTTTAAGAGTCGCAGAGGCAAATCTGTAAATTTCTTGTGCACCGCAGAATTGCCTCCCTCTGCTTAGGAACCATCTGCAGAAATCCCCAAGGGCCACACGCATGAAATGAACAATAGGAACGTCACACATGTTCTTCCCAGGTTGGTTTAAAACCAGGTTGGTTTAAAATCTAGCTGAAGATTCACGAGACGTTTTGCAATATTCAAACTAAATTTCTGCTGCCGGAGGCATGTGAATCAGTCCATGCCCACACTCGATGGCAGTACCTTTGCTGGCCTGGGTGTCAAAGAGGCCGCTGGAAGACGGAGCTGGACGCTCCTCTTTTTCACTCTGTTGCCGCTGAACGACCTTGGGGGCATCCTTGAACAAGCCATTCTCCTCGTCTGAAAATGAGCCGCAAGGAACTGAACAAGGCACGGCTCGAATGTGAGCACTGGTGCTCTTCCAAAATATTATTAATTAAAGGGCAACTCCAGTCAAAAACAAAACCGAAATAAACGACTGGTATGACTTTAGTGACAGCAAACATGATCACAGCCGAAATAGTCAAAGTGAAGCCGCGCACTCCACTAAAACCGATTTTAAATATGCGACAAGCTGCTCTTTACGAGGTGGCAAGCCGGTTAGCTTTTAGTCAAGCAACAATGGGCGACGCGTACTGCATCACTACCGTGACGTCACTTCGTGGCGGGGCTGCGGTTGATTTCACACGTCGTACCGCACACCGCAGCACTACCCTGACGTCATATTGCGGCCGTACAGCTGATGATCAATGTTGCCATCCCTCTCTAGCAGATAGTTTCGGTTTCGCCATTAACGCCCGAAAGCAAACTTTGAACCGTGACTTTTATAAAACTACAAAAAACATTGAAAAAAAATATTATACCTAGCAATTCATGTACACTGACAGAGCTGAAAACAGTCGCGATCCCAAATTTTAAAATACTGACCAAAGTTTTTTTTAAAGGCACATCGTAACTAAGCCTATGTCTTTGAAATGTGCAACAAAAATGACGTTAGGATGATTTTCTGAAATTCCCGACTCCACAATTTTTGGTTACATACTGGCTCCAATGACACGAGCATTTGTACAGCGGAAACATTCTGAAGAATGTGTTTGTGGTCAGTCTCGTAGCCTATTGTGAAACTGTCTGGACTGAAGTATTTGAGATCCCATAAATTTGGACAGGAAATTGTACCAGATTTAGATTATGCAAGGTTAATCCTACTTCGCAAAACCACAAATGAACAAAAATGCCACAAATTATTTGCGAAAAGCCTATCAAACAAAAGGAGGTTTGCAAAATATGAAAAGGGCCGTAGCCAACTGAGAAAACTCACCAGAGTGATCAGAAAACACTTCTTCGTCTGTACTCGATGCTCTGGGTGGGAGCTTAGGTACAGCAGCTGCCTGAGCCCGAACAGCATTTTCTTTGACTTCCGACGGCCTTGATTCAGATCGCATCAGGGGCGGTGGACCAGAACCTGTTACATGCAGCATAACTTGAGAATAGGCCAGGCTCAGCCAACACCGATAACAACTGCAGAACTCTCGTAAATTCAAACTTTGATTGTTCATGCAGTGGAACGTCCTTACAAGGAAGTCAGACTTAAGAAAAACATTTTCAATACAGTTGAACCTCGATTTAGCGAAGTCACCGGGATCCCTTAATTATTTCGTTAAATCGGGAACTTCGTAAAGTCGAGAAAGACATTCTTCGGGATAGGCTGCGCGGGGAATCCGAATTTGTTCGTTAAATCGGGAAACTCGTAAAATCGGGTTTCGTTAAATTGAGGTTCAACTGTATAATCAAATGCCTCAACCAGTATACAAGCTCAGTTTCACTTCACTGCAATCATTATCCTTACCATATCGGTCGTTACTATTGCCGCAGGCATGATCGAGAAGATATGCTTCTTCGTTCATCTGGAAGATATGCGTACACTCTCACCCCAAGCGTAATTGACAAGAAGGCCAGAATGACCTTGCCTAGTCAGTCTTGCCCCAGCTCTTTCCCGAACATTCTAGGCCGAATATTCGAGATGACGAACGTGGTAGGTAAGGAGTCGAGCGCCTTATTGCCGATTCATTCTTCACCCCGCGCATAAGAATTCGCAGCTTCTTTTCGTCCGTTGCCTGAGGGTCGGCATGGATGCAAGACGACCTCAACGAAGCTCGTGATGGTTTTGTTGGGGCCCTGGGTTCGCTTTCGAAGAAGGTCTTTGGCCCTCTCCCGTCGTATTGGCTGGTGAATGTCTGTTTCAGCAGGTCTTTGCAGGCAGTCAAGGAGGTCTCACGATTCTTAAACCAGTGCCTGACCCTTCCTTCGGGCACAAAAGTACAGAATCTGCAGGCGCTGTTCTACCGTCCATCGGTTGTATAGGGACCACTCGTTTGTACTGCTGTAGCCAGTCCTCGACGTCCTCGAAAAGCTCACCGTGGAAGGACGCAGGCGTACACGCAGCGACGGGTACGATGGGTGGGGTGGTCGCGGTTGATCTTGTCGAACTCCGGGGACTTGCCTCGAGTGCGGCGGCTTTCTTGTGCGTTGGCTTGCTCCTCCAAAAGTCTTTCGCTGAGGAGCGGGCTAGCACTACGGGCACTCATAGGAGTACGCTGTATGGGTGACATTCTGCACCTCCAGCAGAATGTCACGAATGACAGACGATGGCCGCTTACGCTTATTACGAAGGCCACTGTGCCGAAAACATGCGAGCGTACACAGAGGCGCACGGGGACCCTTGCATCCCCCCCTCCTCCTGCACGCTGTGCACGCAGAGCATGCATAGCGCTGCTTCTGATGCTTATGCGCCAACGCAAGCAGGGAGCAGAGGAAGCAGCGTCCACGTTCCAACGCTACTCACGGCGCCCGCGGCCGACGCTGTCCGACTCCCGTCGGAATCTGACCAAGGAAGCAACGAAGCCAATGGAGTTTGGAAGAGATCATTCCTTCGGGAGCCCCCCGAGGCATGCGCCTGCGGCGTACGACGGGGTGCGTCGTATGGAAGAGTGGAAGTGTTTACTAAGTTCTGCGAGGATGAGAAAAATGACTGGTCTAAGTTCGAAATTGCCAAAGAATTCGACGTTCCGGCATCGGCTGTTCGATACTGTCCACTGTTTTGCTGAACAAGCAAGGTGTACTTGACGGGTTCAAAAAGTTCTTCATGCAAGAGAAAGTGCACCCGCAACCCGAAAATGAAAGATTGCCAACTGTTTTGTGCACGTCGGATTTTCTCTCGCGAGCATGCCTGCCGAGCCGGCGCACCATTTCCAGAGCTGCAACTATCTCTACAGGAATGTGTGAAAACATGTTGGCAAAGCCACCGAAGATCACTTTGATTCGTTCTCGCTTAACAATGTGGACGCTTCCATCGTTGCTCCTGCTACAGATGCCGCGATTGTAGACCTTGCCTGCGGCCAGGGTAAACATGAGAAGCAACGTCGGAGGCACCTCGGGAAGCTGCAACGACTGCGGAGATGCGAAACATCCTACGGCTGCTTCGAAACAAAGTGGAATGCAGCGGCGGTGACAGTATTCTTACGGTGCCTGGAGCAGTTCAAGGAGCACTGATGCCCAGATGAAATTATCGGCAAACTCCGCTTAATTATCTTTTTACTCGGTAAAGCTTCCAATTGTTGTTTATTACCAAGGTTTGTTTGAATAAGTATACGGGCAGAGTGTTCCTCAGTTTCCCGTCTACCTTCAAGGTTGTTGGCGCTGACTTTTTGGCCCTGTCGCTTTGATCGAATTACCGAGTATATTGTATTTTTTTACCGTCCCGTTGACATCGTTATAACGAGGGATTACTGTATATATTTACTTCCTGTGATCTGTGCAAGAATGTTTTTGCCATCAACGTATTTGCAGTTTTTTGGAAGTCATAAAAAATTGGGTTCATAGGTATTCCTTTTTATTTTTAATATTGAATGTGCCTTAGATAACTCACGATTTTGAATATGTTTGGTATGCATCAACTTGAACAGCGCGTGATCGTGGAAAACAGTGAATGCGCCTAAAACCAGCTAATTCTCGACCAGCGGTTTTCGGGCATAAAGATTATGAATTTCGAGCCGTAAATTGTGTTCTGGGTAGTTGGGTTCTCGTAAGTCATCTTTAAATAAAAACACTGGCGAGCAAAAGTATCCTGCCAGTGTCCCTTTAGAAAGTATTTGTACTGAAGTACATTGTATTTATAGTACTTTACTTATGACAAGCCCGCTTACGTTTATGAGTGGGGCTTGTTATAATTGGGTTTGTTTTAATTAAGCTGATTTGACTAGCATCTGCGGAAGCCCCATTATTTTCATACCAGACCAGACCCCAATTTTCTCCAGATTAATCGTAAATAAAAAAGAAAAGCTGGAAAAAGGCAGTCCATCCTAAAAAAAGCAACAACAAAGCAACTACACAGAGATGAGAAAAGCATACCTCCAAGCATGGACCGCGCCCCAGCCGGAAGCTTCTTCCCGCTCTGGGTGAACTGCGGCGTCGGACGAGTGGCTGGAAAAGCAAAACGGTGAGCCAATAACTGACCGTACTTCAGAAAGGATTAAAATACAAAATTCCAACTCCATCTTATTCCGGAATGCTTGGCAGTGCAGTGAAACAGGCAACAGTTTTAGGGAACCATCTTACGAATCAAACACAGATCGGCCGACAGCCCATACGATTGCCAAATGATCAACTCAATCGCAAAATTTCGATTTCAATGGCAGAAAAAGATTAAAAGGTTGAAAATCTCCGAAACGAATCGCTCCTATATGCCTCCGGAGCAGCAAGGCGACTGCTGAACAAGGTAGCGCTAAGATTAAAAAAGAAAAAAACTTGACAGCCTAGGGGAACTTTACCTATTCAGGTGGCACCGAAGAAGAGTGCTTTGTACCTATGCCAAAAATGGCAACGTATCACCGATAACCGCGGCCAACCAATGGAAGCGTGGACGGTACAACTGAAGGGTATCCTAGCGAGGGCGAGCAACTTTAGTCAACTTCAGTACGTGGCAGCCCAGATGAGAACCGGTGGCTCGACCTGGCAGGCACCCGACAACGACTCGATCCAAAATAGATACAAATGAGACCGTTGCCACACCAACTGACGCGCAGCCTATTTAGGGTGAGGCATCCGCCTCGACAAATTGCCGCGAGTCGGTAAGGGGATTGCTTACTCGTGCTGGAGGCCCGCTCCTTCGCCGGCGGAACGTCGTTGAACAGGTCCCCCTGCGACAGAGAGGCACAGGTCAGTTTTCTGGTGTTTGTTCCCCATTTTTAGGTAGCACAGGGGACTCTTTATTGTACAAAGTCGATTCTTCCAGGAAAGACCCTCGCTAGATTGCTGTCAAATGCCTTTGTAACGAATTCCACGGGACCAGGGTTGTAAAGTACCTAGGTACGAGTAACTGTAAATCGGTATCTAGGTACTTTTGTTGTACCTGAGGTACAAACCTAGGTACTTTCATTTCTCAGTATCTGTATCTGTATCTTAGGTACATTTTCCAGTAACTTGTAACTAAGTGAAGTTACTTTTTACAGGTACTTTTCTATTCACTTCGTCAAAATCGTAGAAAATACAATATAACATATAACTGAAAATAAATTATACTTACAGTCGTCAAGCAATTTAACTTCACGTAGTGTTTCCACGCAATAAATCGAACTCAAATTTTGCACTTTACAAAACTGAAAATGTTTGTGAAAAAAAAATAATGGGAGGACGATTAACCTTCGCCTTTAAGAGTTGAACGCGACAGGGTTATCGGGCCCCGTTCGCATGGCCTTCTCAATCGCTTCTCATGCTCTTGAGTCACACAACGACCTAGTTCTTATGATACAACACTCCCGGCGCGATCGAGGAGCTTTTGCCAGTGCTTTGATGCCATTGTACCCCTCAAGGTTTATTTATGTGTTTGCTCGGCACGCGCTAACAACACTCGATGCGATAATGCCTTTACCCTGACACAGACAGACATCGAGGCTCTCTAATGACGGCAGGATCGCAGTGCCATTCCCAAGCCCTCCGTTGCCTAGTCGGTAGCATGTCTGGCTCGCAACCGAAGTGTCGTGAGTGCGATCCTGCGTAAATTCTTCAAATTTTTCTTTTAGGCAAATGAATTAGTTTATCAAGTGGGATCATTTGAAACATGCGGCGACCATTAATTCGTATGTATTTAACCACCTTCATTCCACGCATGACGTCACGTTTCACATGAGCGTTGTGGGTTGTTTGAAATTCCCGCGCGAAGTCATGTGGCTGTGACGTCACGACCCTATCGACCATTCAGGAATTTCCCGTCACGCCACCGACGCCACCGGCATCCGACAGATTTTCTGTGACCCGAGCTCGCAAACGCGCTCGCCGTTAAAATATTTTCTGCCTTCCTAAAAACGAAAGAAAAAACGTGAAAGCTTGAAGACTTTCGCTCGTCGTTGCGTTGCGAAGGTTAGGTGCGTGTGCACTCGACTCTTCGTTTCTCCATGCCGCCGACGTCTTCTGGGCCCGCCAATGGCTTCGGTGCCAGTGCTGGCGCTGAAGGGCAAGCCACGTCAACAAGCGAGTTTGAGCAGGACGTCGTAAACAGTGGAAGCTGTGTCCTCGGTGAGCCAATTGGAGCATGAGAGTAAGGCACGTGAGGGCTCAACTCCAATCCTTTCAGCAAGTGCTCGGCATTATGGAAGAAGCAAGCGAGGTCTAATGTGGTTGCTGACGCCATCTCTTCAAGCTGTGAAGGATATTTGCCCACGCCTGTCCTCACGCGGTGAAACTCTACATACGATTGCCTCAAATCGCTTCACGGAATGCTTGTTCACAGTGAGGGAAAGTTGAAGGAAGTTTGTGAGAATTTTAAAATTTCGCGATTCACGAAGTCAGACATTGACTTTATTGATGAGTATGTTCAGGTGTTTACACCTCTCGCACAAGCTATAACTTGCGCAAAAACAGCATGTTTATGACATATCTCCTGCCTACAGTGGCTTCACTTCACAAAAAATGTCCGCATTGCTGACGGAGAACTTGAGGTACTGCTGCCCGGTGGTCGAGAGCTTAATCACAGCGATCAATAAGAGGTTTGCAGGTATGGAGGAAGAAAAACATTTGATAATATCTGCCGTATGCCATCCAAAATTTAAGGTTGCGCGGATAGACAACGAAGTGGAACGGAAGCGGGCCTGGGATTATCTAAAGAACGAACTTATGCGAACATCAACTATAGAAAAAGCGTCGTCAGGCGAACAAAGTGGTGAGGATGAAGAAGACTGTAAGCACTTCATTAACTTCCAAACATCGTCCTCATCTGCTCCATGGGAACAGTAGTTTGTACAGTACACCGAACTTGCTCCGACAAGAAGTCTCGACTGTCTCAAGCACATGCCGCTTCTGAAAAGCGTGTTCTTAAAATTCAACACGGGGCTTCCAAGCAGTGCGGCGCTGGAGCGCGTTTTTAGCATAGGAGGAACAATTGCTACCAAACTGCGATCGAAGATGTCGGATGAACATTTCGAAGAAGTCCTGATTCTGAGGTCAAATCGAGCACTCAAGTGAAAAAGACAAAGTCTTCGAATGCTCTGGTGAGAGCGTTTTGCCTTATTTCTCCCATTGACACCAATAAAGCACGTTTATCAAACTTGTTTTGGTGTACATCCCAGTGTATTAAAGGATTTACTTCCAATACTAATGTGACAAATTTGAGAAAAATACTTGATGTGAAAATAAAATGTACCTTTGAAGTAACTGTACCTGTACCTAGGTACATTTTTAAGCGAGTAGCTAGATACGCACCTAGGTACATTTTCGTATGAGTAACTGTAACTGTATCTTAGGTACATTTTTTAAGTAACTTTTACAACCCTGCGACGGGACCAGAAAAAATGTTTGTCGTAGAACTCTCTTCGTTGTATGGGTCTGGCACGAAAACTTTAACGTACGAGAAACGAAAGCTATCGTGTAACGCTGCACCTGCACGACAGTGTATTTCTGAGTGGTTCCATTGCTTAGATTTTGGTGTCATGAGAGGGAACTTGCACCAAAATCAGAACACGCTCCTCACATCTAGACCCAGATGGAAGCGGGCGGATATACAAACGTCAATTCAGTTATAAAAAATCAAGACAGACCGTTCCGCTTCAAATATCCATCCATTTATGTACAGTATAGACCACTTACAACGTAACCGCTTATAGTGCAGGACCGGGTATAACGCGGCTTTTTTAAACCACCGGTTCGCCTCCCATAGAACTCCATGTATGTACATACCGTTTAAAATGCAGGCACGCAAAGGGAAATACCGGTTATAGTGCGGTTTCTGGAACAGCCCGGTGGCCGTAAAGACTGACCGGCGCAGCGAGCACGCTTCCCTGTGCGGCACTAGATAACCGCCGCGAGCCGCAAGCGGCACTCGCGGGGCAAGGAGGTTGCTCGAAGAAGCGGGGAGAAGTGGAGAGAGGCTTCAGTTGCCATAGCGACGGAGGGACGCATACACGTGTCGTTCACGTGCGTGCGTCCTTCCACTGCAATGGTTGGAAACAACTGCAACGACAGACCAATCGCAGGTTGAGGATAAGTGTTCGCGCGCGTTGCATGCCGGTCGCGGGCCGGCTGCTTCTATCCGCAAACATGGCGTCGGTTGTGATTGTCGACGTAGATGGCGTGGTGGAAGCTCGTCGTTCCGCGTAAAAGCGCTATCCTTAACTGTGAATTTTCGTTGTGTGTCGCTATGATAACTCAGCACGTACTAGAAGGGAAGATCCACCTACTTGTGCGGCGATGTCGTGGCGGCACCCTCAAGACGGCAGAAACGCCCGTGTCGTCGTGTTTGTTTACTTCGACTACAGTGGTGCTTTCTAAGCATTTGTGTTTTCGAACATCGCCCGGATTTCTTATTTGGAGCATTCCATGCCTGTGCTCAACTTAAAGGTATTACTGGCGCGTACTGTATAAAGGATGCGAATTTTCATGCATTTTCATCACCAGAGAAAAGTGATTAGGGTTAGCAATCCTGAACGCTCGCAACGTCAGTCCGCAACCCGCGACGCCGTTAAAAGGCTGCGCTAGGCAAAAGTCACTAATTTCTTTCAAAACGTGTGACACACTTGAGAGAGAAGTGTACTAGTCTGGTGAAATAGAGACTTTCCTCAAACTAAGCTTTATTTTTCATCTAACATAAAATGAATTCTTTTAGAAAAGTAAGTTGTCTCATGGCATGTATTTTGGCCTGAAAAATTGATGTTTTGGTTATAGCGCGGTACCGCTTAAAGTGCGGATTTTCGCGACTCCCGCGACATACGTTATATGCGGTCTATATTGTAAAACAAAAATTTGTTGGGGTGGTCATGATACCAAATACACCTAAATCGCTAAATGGGCATTTTTGTGGTACAGGCATTCATTATAAAGACACAAGACTGTGATACATTAAAATCTCATTGCTTGTTCATACGCTTTCGATAGAAGTGTGCAAACATCAAAGTTTTGACTACAAATCGAAGATAGATATTTTCACACAAGTCGTACATTTAATGCAAATTAAAAATGGTACAGTCGCACCCCGCAATAACAAAACCGTCGGGGAAAGCAATTTTTTTCGTTCTCGCGAGAATTTCGCTGTTGCGAAAATGGACAAATATGCACGCCTATTACTTTCCAGAACCAAAACTGATGCTGTCCTTGGATTTCAGAATTGTAGAAAGTGAGCTGCACGGAATACTGAACTCCTCCACAATATCCAACTTCTTTCTGCCTTTTGCAGCTTTGGCGATGATTGCAGACTTCTCCTGAAGCATCACAAACATGTTTTTTAACGGCAGGTGGCATTTTTCCGATAGGCCAAACAAAAAGAAGTAAACAAGGCGCGAGTGATCTCGGCGTGCACGCGGCAGACGGCAAAATGGCAGCGAGCGGCCGGTGATGTCGTCACGCGAAATGTCCCGTGCCTACGTAGTTGCCAAGAGATGGACTAGCAGAACGCTGTTTTTAGCTACCATAAAAAAAAATATTATTGCTATCATCATCATTATCCAACCAAATGTAAACCGCAATGGCCGCGCCGATGTTTGTCGGAAAGGTATGTGCCCGACCTGTCGGATGAATGTGCTGCTCCACTTGTCATACTTCTGCTTTCCCAACTGGCCCATGTGCCGAAAAAACGTTGCAGACCACTACCTCAAACTTTCGTTAATGCGGGACTGCCTTTTAAAAACTCTTCGCTTTTGAGAGGGTGCAAATGCATTGAACCCTACGGACGTTCGCCGGGCCCGCCAGATTTCTTTGTTGCGGCAAGAATTTAGAAAAAATAGTTTTATTGCCCTTCAAGCTAGTGAAGATAGTCTGCCACTTCAGTTGCTGCTCTTGGTACGCTTCAGCAGAACGGTAAAGCTTGACAATAATGAGCCACAGCATGAGTGCCATGGCATTGATTGAGGCACATGGTTGACACAACCATCACGTGACCTTACCAGTAGGAGACTAGCTGTCTCACTACAACTGCCGTCCAACTGTTTTACAAAGCACCTCTTCTAGACTTTTCAGCTCATTACTCAGAACGTAACACTCGGACAGTAAGGTGGCCAGTATGGCCAACAAGTGAGTTATAGCTTAAGTGACTAGAAACACTAACCTCAGGTGCCTGTACCAGTATTACAAACATACTTTACTACAACTGGTTCCATACCGTATTTCAAACTTGCTTAAGCAGAACTGCGTGTTCTGCGAAGCTCCTATCAACAAGAGCGCACTGCATTTCTTTTCTTCAAATATTCTACATACTATTACAGATCACTGCCTCGGAGCCAAAGGTTTGTCAACACTACGAGGGTGACTAAACAAAAAGAAAACAGTCACCATCTGACGATTAGAAGTCACCTTTTCGTCGTCTTCATCGTCGTCGAACAGCTTTCTTGGGCTGGAGAAAGCGCCACCCCTTTTCTTGAATGGAGACTGCTCCTCAGCCTCGGTGAACATCTCTCCATCGCTCGGCACGCCGAACAAGTCCTCCTCCCGTCTCCGCACGCTCCCGGCGCCCTCTGTATGCAGTGCGAGCAAGCAGATGTCACAACAAAACAACTGCAAGTCAAGCTAGTTGGAATCTGCCGCTCGAATAGACGGCGAAAGAATTCAGACGAGGATGTACAAAGAACAAAACAGACTAGTAATATACCAAGCACACGCCTTCACTTGTGAAAGCACCCTTTCTATTCTTTGGGAATTTCACATTTCCATACAGTAAAGGGCGAGCAACCTCCCGCCAGCCAGGGGCGGATGCAGGAAATTCCTGAGGGGGGGGGGGGGTTAGGTGTTGGTCAGCGTACCATATGTTTAGGAACCCCCTCCCCCTATCCTTTGTTTTATGCCCTAAATTTTACATATGCAGAAGTCAAGAGGGGGGTCAGGCCATCCAGACCCCCCCTCTAAATCTACACCTGCCGCCAGCTATCCTAGCAGCGAGGCTGCTTCTTTTTTTTTTTTTCACAAAATTTATGCGCCGACAAGGTTCTTTTGTTTTCTCGTATAATAAATAGGGCAGTGCGAATAGTCGAGCTTCGAACTCAAACCGAATATTGATTGACCTAATAATTCGTCGTGACTAGAATTTCTGCTATCCGACTTTTAGAATAATTGTATATATAAAATATCGGTACTGCCTAACAACATTCGGGTTTATTAAAAGAATTCTCTTCATCCAGTAAAAGAAAAGAAAGGTGTCCGAGAAGGCCAGCTAAGGCGTCAAGTCCTCTGGGGCTTGGCACATCTCTCGGCAGGTGCACCGTCTGTTTAAGGGCCATTGCGTGGGCAAGGTAACATGCTGCGCGACTTTAAAATGTTCGCGAGAATAAGGGCGGTTCTTGAAGCCTCTATGTATTGCGCAACTTGCGCCGTTTGCCAGAAATGCAAGAGAATCTTCGACACACTCGTTCCACGGCGAGGCGCTGTCGTTCAGACGCCTCTCTTTTCTTCGACCATAACCCTCACGGGCCTGTGCTAGATCTCAACTGAGCCCGCATTAAAAAAGCCGTGGCTGACTAGCCATTGTGATAGAAACTGGTTCATATCTGTAGTCCTCAAACAAAGCAGTCGGCTCGACAAAAACCCACAGGCGACGCACGCAAAAAACGTAGGGAATATAGGCAAGTGTTTGAGAGATGGCGTCAGTGTGTTCTGTCGTAAGCATGAGGCTGAACAGTGCCCTCGGTTGCAACCAAATGCAAGTGCCTAAATTAACCTTTAGCCGAAGCTCTCAAGACATAAAGGTGTATACCAACAAAAACCAGCTCACAAACAGTGGATACCCTTCGTCGGAGTATCTACCGTTTGCCAGCCCGCGCCGCAGAGCTCGGGAATTGTTCCTTGGCTCGATTTGGACCAGCAACGTACCAGCATACGCTCGTGTAATCTCTACTGCACGATGCACTTTAAAGAGCCCATTGTTAACGAGTCGCACTGCACCGGCTAGATTGCTCGTCTATGGCGTGAACCGGCGTCGCCATACCCCAAAAGTACGTCGACCTCCCAACGTATCAACACTCGACATCCAATTCACTTTCTTTGCCGACGAGACGCGGGAATTGGGTCGAGGCAAAATCGATTGCCGAGCGTGGCAGGAGCGAGCGTGACGGCACTTCGTCGATTACGACGTTCTTCATTGCTTAGGTGTCCGATGAAAAAGGACGCCGCGATCTAGTCTTGAATGCCGGAGCGGCAAACTGGGCACGGACGCGATTGAGCAGACGGGGAAGCAGGCAGCTCACCGCTCCTCCTGGAAGACACGGAGCCCCTCTTGGGCGGTGGCTCGGAGGGCAGCAGGTCGGCGTCCGAGTCCGGCTCGCTCTCGCTGCTCGCCGAGTGCAGCTCCGCCTTCTGGTCAAAGAGCTCCTCCTCGCTGCTCTCCAAGTGGTTCCCATACTCCCGCAGCATTGCCTGTGCCATCCTCGTGTCTGCCGGAGCCTTGGCTTCCTTCTCCTGCGAGCATGCAGAGACCCGCCGAGAACAAAGTCTTCCCCGCTGCTTGAAGACAGGACCGTATGTAACTTGTCACGAGCGATGCATCGCTCATTATCTGTCACTTCTTCAGTTACCGATTCACTATGCGACAGATTTCTGTCACTTCTAGACAAGTAACAAAATTTGGCTACTCTTTTTCTGGAAAATAGTTCATTCATTCGCTTATTTGACCCTTAAATGCCCACGGGGGCTTTACATAGGGCGGGCAAAATTTAACTATAAAACGGGACAAAATATATTGTACACTAGGTTACTTGTCCAACCTATACAAACGTGATGTTAAGCGCAACATCGCAGCCTTCGGCCCCGGCTTACGCTGCGTTTGCGCAATCTACGCCTTACATACAATTAAGTTTTTCCCAGTAGCCCTTTGTCCGTGTGCCTAGGTACTCTCGCTCCCAGTGCACTGCCGCCATTATCGAAGGGCAGCCAGGCTTGCCGTACCATGGTAGAACCAGCATCTAAGTGGCCAACGTCAGTTTAGCCTTGTTGCGATTGTGTTCATCATATTTCTCTGTAGTTTGCCAGAGCAGCGTGGCTGATTTGTTTCTGTTCATACCGTTTAGCATCATAAGCAACCCGGCAAAGCATTGACAGAGGAATAGCTTTTCTCATTCAATAGCCTTCGGGGAATGCCCTGTAGCAATACCATTTAGTAAAGCAGTAAGCTGGGCGAGTTGGTATACAGTGAACATGGTGAAAAATCGCGCACAAAGAGACGAGGACAAAAAAAAAAATAGTGTGCCTGTCTGTGTTCTGTGTTCCTTCCTCGTTTGTCGTCTCTTTGTGCGCAATTTTTCACCATGTTTAGCAATACCAGTAATACCGTTCATTTTGCTCTGCAATTGGTTGTTCAAATAAAAAAAAAAAGAATAGCATTCTTTTTTTTTTTTTCTTTTGCATTCTGTTGCTCAAGATGCATGTCAATCAACGATGAAATAAATAGATGAAAGCTGTTTGTCTGATGAACCCCCAGGTACCAGCTGTCAGCCGAAGAACATTGCTCGAATATGCAACGCGTGCCGATAATTGAACAATAGTGTCCTTAGCCTTTGAAAGGTACTTTCCAGAAAAGGGAGTGCGAGGAAAAGCTTCAGGTCTGGTAGACTCTAAAAACAGGACGTCGAACCGGAACCAAACTGCTCTTGTTAGCCAAACCAGAACTGAACCAAACTTTTCGTTGCCATCTTGGAACTGAACCAGGAAAAAATATGACTAACCAATTCAAAACGGATCCCGGAATTTTTTTTTTTTTCTTTGTATCACAAAACTAATATACAAGAATAAAAAATAGCCAGTTGAATTTGCAATCTATGAGAAATTATGGGATTTTGTGGTCGCGCACCAGTCACCTAGCTGTGTTTGGAGATTTGTGTTTGTCCTTTGTCCCTCTTGTTCCCCTTCTCCAGGGATTATTATCGTCATTCTAGTCCAGCAAGCATTGCTGGACTAGAATTTAATTGCATTATAATCATAACCTTAAAATGCAAGCCGTTCACTCTTGTTCGCGTTAGACTGGTGGCAGCTGATAAAACCAGTTTGCTTTACTGACATCTAATCCCTGGCTAGCTCAGCTGGCAGAGCGCTCCACTGGAAATGAAGAGGACCCTGGTTCGATACCGGGACCAGGTGGATTTTTTCGGTGGTGCACCAGTCACCTAGCTGCGTCTGGAGATCTGTGTTTGTCCTCTGTCCCCCTTGTTCCCCTTCTACAGGGATCATTTTCGACATACGTTTTGCACAACTATGTTTGCGTGCCCAATTTCAGGTACTGCGTACGTTCGGAATTCAAATTCTGCAAGGCATGCCAAATTTATGTGTCCTTACGGCTGCACCCTGTCTATTGTGAAACGTGTTTCGTAAACTATATTTCACGATATGCATATGGCGACAAGGTGCCCATTCCATGACTTTACTCACTGTAATTAATTCCTTAGTTGAAAAGCACAACTATGAATCAACTTTTAATACTGCGACGCAAAGTTGCAACAATCACGGATATTTTAGGCAACCTACCACAGTTTGCGACAGCCTTTCGCTTCAGATAAAATACATGTGACTGAGGTAAACAAATGAATGTTAATTAGCATAACTATGTTTCGTACGTTAATCTTGATTTTTTTTTTTTTTTACTGTTGCATAAGTAACTCAATTCCTTTTTTTTTTTTTGGTACCTGAAAATAAAAGTGGATTGTATGAACAACGAAAAAACTGTATAGTTACTCGTTTCAAGGCGAAAATAGTGCCCATTGCCAAAACAATGAGGAAAAATATATTCTCAATTTAGTTGCTCAAACTGGTTTGAACCGTTATTTTTGCTCCCCGCAAATGAACTGAGAGCTGGGAACCTGAACCGATAAAAATTTTGGTTCGACACACTGAGTAGGAATACCCTTCGTCTGTCATTGTTTTTGTTGTTTACAAGCAATTCTTTGCCTCTCGAGACTTCGTTTTCTTTCCGAGTATGGTGAAAAAATGGTTGCGGAGAAATTGACCAAAATACCAACGAAGTAAGATATGACTACTCAATAAATACATACTATGCAATCCACTTATAACGATACCAGATATAACAATGTACCGCTTATAACGATTAGTTTCTAGAGTTTCTAGACTAGAAATGCTCAGTTTCTAATACAACAATAATCGGTGGTAACGATTGAATTTTCGGGTTTTCTCATAATCGTTATAAGTGGATTGCACTGTAGTACTTTGCTTAAAGGTATCAGGCTGTAAAGGCAGTACAGGTAAAGGTATCGGGCAGTAAAGATAGTAAATCACATTAGAAAACTATAAAAATTGCTTACTTATTGGCAAGTGCATGGCTTGTGAAATGCTTGAGAGAAAAGGACACGACATGGAAGTTAGTTGCCAAAAATATCAGGATGAAAGTGAAAGACGACGACGGCTTACGAAGGATGATAGCGCGCAGCAAGAGCAACTGTTTGTCTACTTGGGTGTGCTCTTTGCTTGTAGCTCTCAGAAAAACCACTAGACGGCGCTCATTACCAGAAAAAGGTAAAGTCCCTCGACAAAATTAATGCTCACAAATACCGCCAATCATTGTTGTGTAAAGACACGTGCCATGAGCAGTGCTCCGCCACCATTCGCTTCCAAGGACCGCTCATTTCAGTTCTGCGCCACCATTTGCTTCCAACGGCCGCCCAAGACATGGGCCAAGTGCACTGGCACATTTGACGCTACTTTTGCAAGACATTGAGGGTCTTTAGAGAAAGATCCATCGAAGACTGGCATTCCAAAAAAGCTAAAGAGTAAAGGGCCGTGCCTATTCGAGCATGTGTCAAATCCGTCCGACCGTTCTCAAGAATTGCCCCACGCAAGCGAAGGAACGAGACAAAATGAACTGGATTCGACGGGTTAGTGTCGACCAATTTGACACACTTTTCGTACCACACAAGTATTTTCTAGCTTCATCTCAGCTGCCAGCTTCCCAAACTCAAAAAATAATGCGGAAAGCAATGCATTATTTCAATTTGTTACTTTAGTTTTGGAAAACAAGGTAACAATCTTCCTACTTAGCTAGCAAAATAGGTAAGCCAGAAGGTGAAACCACTCTGTGCATAAGAATCGCAGAGATTCAAGAATCGCAACCACTCACCTCGTCAAAGTCGCTCTCCGACCGGTCGCTTTCGTACTCTCCTCGACTGCTTTTTTCTTCCTCCTCCTCGTCTGCAAGTAATTAGGAAAAGAAAAACACTTTCATCGAGAGCAAAAGACCAGGGCTTCCATGCACAGCTTCCGTTCATCGGTGGCAGACGTCCAACGCGAAGTAAAAGCCGGCCCCGCAACAGAGGCCACCCATAGTACCCCCTCCCCGCAAAGGAATAAACATTTCAACCCATACCCCAAGCTTTACTTTTGTATAATCCCATACAACTGTTTTAGTAACTGTTTTAATAATATGCTGTAGCATTTTTGTTATTAGATTGTTTTACTGTTTCGTTTCTTGCATATATTTTTGCAGTTTTTTTTTCATTCTGCAATGCTGTTTTGTTGTCGTTGCCAGCCAAGTGGTGTAGACTTCTACCTAGCTACCCCAGATATTGGGGTGCGAATAAATGCAAACAAACAAACAAGGCCGCCAGTGTCTCCCGCCGTGCACAAGAGGGATGGGGGGAGGGGGGCCACGCACCCTCGCTGAGGAGGTCCCCAAGGCCGACCCTGTCGTCCTGCACGAAGGCCTGGCTGCCGATGAGCAGGGGCAGGGCCCGGTGCAGGTAGGGGTCCCGGGAGCGGAAGAGCGGCTCGGCAGGCGGTGCCCCCTCGTCCTCGGAGTCCTCGTCCGAGTCCCCCTCCTGGTTCAGGTCCACAAACTCCAGCGAGGAGCGCACCACCTGCACCCCGTGCTGGAACGCATCCCGCATCCGACGCACCAGCTCCGCCTCCTGCTGCTCCTTGCTCTCGGCCTGCAATGCATCGGATCTCAAACTTCTGAATCTCAAGGACCTGGCTTGACTGAGAGCCGAGGAAGCCCTCTTGGTCGCGGCATCGACGCAGCAAAGCAGTTCAGAAACCTACAGACGCGAAAACTTTAAGGCATGAAACAAGGCAGAGTTTCACCCATAGTTCGGCATTCATAGATGGCTCTTTGAGAACCCACGGTCTAGACAAACAAATCCATTGTCTTCCCACGCATATCTGCTGCCCTGAAACGGCGGGGCTTAGACGCGGACATCCGCGGCCCTGACGAGCCCATACTGCTGGCGACACTATTAGAGAGGGAAGCGGCAAAACGTCACTTGCAAGGTCTGTACCTAAAAGCTTGGTCTGCTGGGCAAGTTGCTAATTGACATTCACATTAAAAATAGCCAAGGTTGGGCAGGAATACTCAAAAATGTATTTCGAAATAGAAATACGGGGATACATTACAATAGTAGCTAAAATACTGATACTGAAATATATCTGTAAAAGTGCATCGCGACACGTATCGGAAATGCATTTTAAATAGAGGCAAAAAGTATTTGAAAACACAAATACAGGAATACATTTTAGGGAGGGCAGAAATACAAATACAGAAATACTGATACTGCAGTACATTTTTCAAATTTGTATGAGACACCAAATGGGATGAAGCTTGAAGTTTGAAGTTTTCGACTCTGAAATTACTTTCCTGTAGGCTTGGCACTTTGCCTTGAAGGTAGTGATTTTGGACGACGAGTAGTCTTCAGTGGGCTCAAAAAAACGTTCCATCAAAGACTGACCACGGTCCCTTTCCTGACATCCTGTCTGTCTGACGAGGGATACGAAAAGACTTCGACCTCTATATAAATTCTATGTCATCCTAAATTCCATCAAAATGTCACCATGCCCCTGTCCAATAAGGACGCCCCTGTCAACATTTATCACATGATGTCACGGCGGAATCAACTGGTATTCTTTGTCTTTAGGTGTGGCCTTGAACATGAAACTGTACCACGCTGTTGTACGAAAGGACAATACGTGCTTTCGTTGTAGCTTACCTTGAAGATCATGCAGGCAGTGTCATTTGGAATTTTCGAGAATAGTGGGCCACCTGAAGCATCCTGGAACACATGCCTTCTGTTACGGTTGATAAAACGATAGATACGGTGGCATCCCTGTTGTGAAGGTTCTTCCTACCGAACCTCCGCCACCGACGCATGGATTGCAGTCCTCAAGTTTCGTCTTGCATACTCCAGATAGAGACCTCGTGGATTGCGACCCGATATTGCCGGCACAGGTGCGAGCTCTCCGAGAAACTGTGTGCTCGAGACGAGTCGCAGGTGTACGAAGTCTGGGTCGGCACAGCAAGGCCACGTCTGACCTCCGTCCTGGGTTTCGGATCACCAGAGCAGCGGGTCACTTTCACATCGACTGATGACGTATCCTTGAGCCGTGCAATATCACGGGCGCAGCCGCAGACGCATTAGAATACGTGTTGAACTTTACTGCGTGAGTCATCCTACTATTTCAAGTCAACCACCGCCAGGCTCGTGCTGCAATGGACTGTGAATCAGCTTTGCCGGCTGGGTGTACTGTGTACGCGAAGGCGAGCGAGACGGTTAGCAGCGGGCTTTGGATGCCAGCAAACAATGACTCAAGAAACCCCTACCTAAGGACCTGCGGCACAAGATGCTCTGCCTCCACTCCTGGCACGCCACCTGGTTCGAGTCCCCGACTACGCAACACTTCTCAGAAGAGAGAAGAGGACGCATAGAAAAATAGTTTGGAGAATCGGAAGGAACCTTGGTCAGCAAGGTAACAATGCCCCAGCATCTCCTTGACCCCAATGTCCTCAGAAGTAAAAAAAAAAAAGAAAATGCTTTCAAATTTTTTTTTTTTTTTTTTTTTTTTTTTTTGAGGGGTGGGGGGTGGGTGTATTTCTCAAGAAATGTAACAAAATACATTTCATCCTGATTGTATCGCAAAACAAAGAAACATTCAAAATGCATTTCAACACAGGAATACAGATACTAGTGAAAAAAAGGTATCGCGATACAGAAATAGTGATACAAAATGTATTTCTGAAATACTATTGCGATACACTTGTATCGCGATACTGCCCAACCCTGCAAATAGCGCAAAAAAGATGGGACAAAAAGACGAAGAAGCACAAAGGACAAGCGCTATCCTGTGTGCTTCTGTCTTTTTGTCCCGTCTTTTTTGCGCTATTTTTAATATGAATGTATGTACCTAGTCTTCTTTTTAGCTTTATTTCTTACGAGAACGTGTATGAAAAATTCCCGGTTCCTTGCCACTTCATGCAAGTTAACTGTGGTGACAGCCAAGGCTCTGCCAACTTTGCTAAACACAAACTACCGTACACACAATCACACTGCACACTTAACCGTGACGTCACGCGACATTGTGATGTTTGGCGTAGAAATTTTCTTGCCAAACTTAGCGGGAAATTTACACGCCAGATTTAGCGAGAGAATATCCCTGCTGATCGCCGCAGTGTCACGTGACGCCGTGATGTCGACCACGACGACACTACAGTAAACGCAGCAGGGGATTCACTGCAAAACCTTACCAGCGACTGCTGTTGCTATGAAAGAAAAAGTTGACAAACAAAGGCTCAAACAACTTCAACCCGTCGCAGCAAAACAAACACGTCACCTATCGTCTGCTCTCTTCTGTCGCTCTCTTTCTCATACTTTCCTCCTTGACCCCCCATGTTGCACTTGTAAAGTGCCACATTCTGCCCCCGCCTATAATTCTAGAGGGAAGCCGGCTGCTGAACCGCACCGGGCTGTCGAGCATGTGGGCCCCAGAAGAGCTGACACCCAAATCCCGTCGAGGATTTGAGTACCAGCTTTTATGGTATTTGCCAAACAACATCTATAAAATACATGCCCCCCCCAAAAAAAAGTCCGATTCTAGACATTGATTTAAGCAATGCCAAGCTTATGCTCAATCTCGGGAGATGTTGGGCAAGAACTCTGTTCACTATTCTTTTCTATTTTTTACAAAGAGGTGACATAGCAAAGAAATGAGCATTGTTGCCGAGTTTCTTGCGACATCTGTAAGCATGCATTCCTGTTTTCTCACCGACTCCAGGTGGCCGCTGCCATCTGGTGAAGCAGATATAACTCACCTGAGCTTCACTCTGAGCCTTCTCAGGTTCCCTCGCTTCTTCATCGTAGACCCTCTGCCAAAGAGTAGACTTTGTCAAAGAAGGCAAGCGAGAAAAACTGCACACAACCGTAGAAATTCACAAGCTGCGGCTAGAAGACGGAAAAGCCCAAGGGGGGACGGCAGTGAAACGGCTTCAGCAAGCTTTAAGCAACCACCACCTTCTGAATGACAAGAATAAGAGCACACTTCTTTTATATTTACATCTTGGGACATAGCCAACAACAAGGAAACCTTTTTTTTATTTATCTCTTTTAGTCAGATATTGGTTAAAACCAATCGGACTAGCAATCATTCAGTGGTATGCACCTGAGCTGCACTTTGCAACCACCAGTTTTGTCAGGTTCTGCGATGAGGTGGTAAACTTTCTGCCGTACTCACATTTTCTATGAATTGAAGGCTACTGAGATGGTTGAAATCATTGATGACATTGTTGACCTTCACACCAGACACCTAGCAGGGAGAAAGAAAACATAAAACAAATTTACAACTTTTTAGGTTACCAAGACATCTGAGTCGTGCTGTTCTGTACGCTGAGCGACACCGTTAAGGTGCAACCCCACTTTTGGTTAGTGTGATTCTGAACCAACAGATGGCGGTGGGATCGCCTTCCAAGCCTGTTCATCAATCCGAGAAATCGTGTGTGGTGGCGCTTCGATACAGTGGGGTATTTTTCTATATCCTGAATTTGACATCCCTGGCCCCTTGCTTGTTTTTCTCTGCTCGAGCTTTCTTTGGAACGCGCACAGCTGCGCCATTTCTCGTGCAAGGGGGCCAATTACCTATGCTCCGAGCTCACGTCTCTAGCAAATGTGGGCAGAACAAAACGCGAAAATCGTCCCGAGCCAAATGGCGAGACACGTGCACAACCAAACCACCGACGCGTTGAAAAATATAAAATTGCCTGAGCGCCGTTACCAAAGATTGCAGAGGCCAATTACACATATTTCAATATGATTAGATTTATGTTGACACGAATGAAGGTGACAAGAGGACGAATAGTGAACTGAAAAATAAAGGCTTAATCGGCGAACTTGTGCCAAACAAAAAAAAAGTAAGGAAAGAGCGTCGAGGTAGCAGAAAAGCAGGCGGCGATTCGGCAGCGTGACAGAGAGCGAGAGCGAGAGTGACTCGACGAGGTCGCCGGCGGCTGCTTATCTACAGTGCGTCACCATCTCGAAAGTTCGGCAAAGAAGGTTCGAGCGTCGCGCGCTCGGGGCGAGGATGAACTGGCACTTTCGAGAACAAGAAAACAGGGCGAAAGTTACGCCTGGTGAAAAAATGAACGCAAATCTTCTAGAAGTCCGTGACTGAGCGTTGCTTTCTCGGCTCGGCGGGCGGCAATATGACGGGCCAGCGCTTTTGTCGTGCATGTGTTTGGCTCTTTGTGGATTTCCAGGAAAACGAGCTGACGGAATAGACCTGGGTGTCCAAAATTCTAGTCTAAGAAATTAACTACCTAAAAAAAGGTAGCTGGGTGTTCATTTTGACCAAAACCACGAGACTGGAAAACACAAAAAAATGATACTCAGGTTTAGATGTTGAGTTTGGTAAACCCAAAGTAGGGCTGGTGCGGGAGTCATAATAAAAAAAATGCCGAGGTTAAAAATTAACTCACAGCAATAAATGATAATAATTAATTATCATTAATTCGTTATTATAATAATTAACGAATTCAGTGATAAATACAATGACTGGCCAGGCAAAGATTCTTGGTCTGTGGATAGCCTTTCCACAGTTTAAACATAGTACAGGATTTTACAAAAAAAAAAAATACAGGGCTTGTTTTTTTACTCCAAGAATAAACTAGGAATCGCCGAACGCTCATTTTCCGCCAGAAGGCAGCGCTAGAGGTCACAACCAGATGTCAAAGTTCAGCCCGATCCGATAGTTTATTCAAAATTTAAGTGATTTTCTGAAACGTTCATTGGGAAAATGGCGACCGACGGAGCTTTCGAATACATGCGGCTCTATGGCACCAGAAACCGAAAACGGGCAAAAATGGGCTTCATTTTCCCATTGAAATTTTCAGAAAATCACTTATAACTTTTGAATAAGGTGTCCGTTCGGGATGAAACTTTGGCATCTGGTTGTAACCTAGCGCTACCTTTTGGCCGAAAAAGAGCGTTAAACGACGCATAGTTTATTTTTGAAGTAAAAAAAACTTTTTTTTTTTGTGGCATCCTGTACCAGTCTTAATTTGGTGATTTATGCGCGCAAGTAGTGGTGTGCAAAAATGAAAAAAAGATGCAAACGGGTACAGTTTGACATTGTATAAAATATAGTGTAAGCACTCACATGGTACTTAAGAGTGAAACAGCCCTGCATTTTGCACTAGCGTTGAGTGTATAGAAAGTTAAGAGTGCATTAAAGGCTAAAGCTTGTACACATATACTGCTCAGGCCATTATGTTTGAAAGCTCATAGTACTTTATTACCCTCAGATTTGGTGTAAGTCCTCTCCTCATTGCTTACAAGAAAAAGAAGGAAACATTCTAAGCTTGGGTTGAAAGAAAAACTCCACCTGCTGACAGCTACCAATCATCTCGGCACCGATTATGAGTATTCACTGCATGCCGACGGTCGCGTGCTTAGAACGAGCTTTTTCCCACGTGATTTCATACAGTCACAATTATTCTTGACAAACAACAATGTTTACTCAGGCAAGCGGGCATATGTGAAGCTTATAATATTTTGTATTGATTGTGGCACACGTGGCAAGTTGCATAGGCTTTTTTACAACCTGCGAAATAGAATGCTCTTGGGTTACCTTGGTCTCTAATGCATGTAGCACACAAAAGAACACGAACTGAATTGCAGTGGGAAACGAAAATAAATGATGATAAACAAGCGTGTAGTCACGCGAAAACTGAGGGTATTGCACATATACAGAAGCGGAATATACAAGTGCGAGCATACTGCCCTGAACTATACTTCCAGTGAACAAACGCACCATCCAAAGCATCGAGTTTGTTTTTATAGCTCTTGGTACGCTCAAACCTTTAAAAACACAATTATAATCAATTCTATTTTAATTATTTTTATTAAGTGTGCCTATGTGTTTTTTTTTTTTTGTCTGTTGCATTCACGTGCCATTTTCTTAGATATACAATACTTTTCCAGAAGTCCGACACCTATAGTCTGGTTCATCATGAGTAAGGGCCCAATAATCAAAGATGTAGACAAAAAAAAAAAAAAGAACACAAACAAGTGAACACAGATTAAAAATGCAGTGTAACGGCACATCCAAAACTAGTCGTTAGTTTTTTCGAGAGCAGCAGTTTCGTAGGGCGACATTGTTACCCGTTGAAGGTTATAAGAAGTGCAGTGCAACTGTTAGCTCAGGGTCTTTAACGTGCATTACCCAGTATATGTGGTACACGATCACACGACGGTAGGATGCAGAAAGGCGACTGAACCCAGGGTCCCTGCCAAAGCCCCTTGATAAAGGAGTTTTTTACAAGTACCGCCAACCATTGTTGGGGAAACGCGCAAGACACGTGCCACGAGCGGGTGCTCCGCCGCCATTCGCTTTCAAGGGCCAGTCATTTTAGTGCTGCGCCTCCAAGGGCCACTTGAGACACAGGCCTCGTGCACTGGCACCTTTGAGGTTATTTGAAAGACCAACGCAAACACATCGAGGGGATTTAGTCCCTACACATTCCGCCAACGTTGGGTTCCGAAGCGTGAGCTCCGTGCTTTGAACGGAGCTCGCACTCGAGCATTTCTCCACGTGCTCTGATCTGCGGTGCCACACCACACTCGGCCAGCGGTCCCCCGCCGGACTTGGTTTAGCCTGTGAGCTAAACCAAATGAGCTATGCTTAGAGTATCGGCACTTTTTCCCCCAAAATTATTGTGGGTGCCGCCATCTTGGTGGTTAGTAACGAATAAAACGCAACTGCCGATCGTCATGATTCAAAAGTTTCGGTGTCAGGCAGCTCGCGCAATATTGCTTTGCTTTGTCACGAACTGTTTAAACATTTCTGGAGGACGGAAAGGCGTTTCCTGTGATTTCAAAAGCTTCAGATAACTGACAACCATTATTTTAAGCACCAAGATGTCTATGAAGCGTAACTTACTCAGTTGTTCTAGTTTAGCCCGACCGCATAGGCATAGAAAGAGAACAAACAGCTTGACCTTGCGCTCTTGGCGCTGCTTCAGTGGCTTTATCAGCCCGTAGCGTTGGCTGCGTTCCGAACTAAGGTAAAGCAAAGCAAATATTCAGATCTTAGGGTTTCACAAGACAAACCAACAACAATCACTTAACACACCCCAATAAAAAAAAAATTGCGGGTTTATTTTGTCTAATTGGAGATCTTTTGACGTGCAACCGAAATCTCAGATTGACCTCCGGCGGATTGCGGGCACCTCTGCCGATATTTAAACCCAACAAATATAGATTTATGGGCCAGTGCGTTGGCTCAGAGACACTGAGACGATTGAATGTTTTGTGTTTTGTTTTAATATCATTGCCACTTAAGAGCCACCGAGGTGGTTTTTGAAACAAAATATAGTCAAACCATTCCGACAAGCATAGTTTGATTGCGAAAATGGTGTTTCCATGTGATAAAAACATTAAAATATTTTTGCATACGTGGCGGAATCTGAAATGGCAGAATGCGTTTCATGGCGCCCATTTCATTTGGATCGCGTCGGGAATGCGTACCGACGCACAGTAGAACGCGCGCAAAAGTAGCTCTGGTGCACCCGCAGCCTCGCGCTTGTGTTTCTGACATCTCTGGCTCGCTCACTGCGGACATCCAGGCATCTGACACCGTGACATCTGGCGATTTTTCTGTCTTTCACGTGGCGTTCCAAGCGGCACAGGACGGAAGATGCACATCAAGCTGTTCTTGAACACGTGTCGCCATCTGTACTTTATATTAAGAAACTACAATTTGCCGTAACTGAATGGGAAAAGTGAGGTCTTATAACATTTTAACGTGTAATATATCAATATGGAAGTTCTGGAAAATGTCATATTGAAGGATGCTTCATAATTTAATGTCTCGTTATTTTGATTAGTTAACTTGATTCCGTTTTTATAGCGCCTTAAAATGATGTCATTTTAAAATATACACTATCTGTACATCTCGTTGCTCACTTTTTTAATTTATTACATGCAACCAAACTCTCACGTAAATTATCGTGGACAATGGGACGTTATAACTCGAGGAATAATTTTTTCAACATTAGAGACTGCGGTCTATTAAAAGATAAATTATTAACTAACAAATAAAAGTAATCGTAATTTTGAAACATTAAAGGATTGCCAAAAAACAGCTCTTTAATTTGACATTAACTTTAATTGTAAGTTACATAGAACGAAAGTTATAAGCCGTCAAAAAAGCACCAAAACGTCCTGCACAGTGGGGTTGCACCTTAACGAAAAACACGACATTGGCGCTCTTTTGCATTTTACTTTGAAAGGGTGTCAAAGGAGATGTACATTCTTTTTTTTGGATTAGGCCTCAAAATAGCAGTTTCCATGTTATTAGAAATGTTAATCGCAGCCTTTAGATTCTAAAAAAAGAAGACAGCTTCTGTGCACCAAGAGTGTTGCACTATGTACACATGTCTCATGTGCCTCACAGCTTAACTGGTGCTTTTTTAAAGGGCACCTGATCAGACATTTACGGTAAAGTACCAAAGAAGTGCAAATCAATATTTTGGCGAAAAAAGGGCGAGACAGAAAAAATACAAAATGGCGGCTGATAAACAAGCTTCCAGACATAAAAAAATTATTTTCAGGCTTGCTCATTAAAAAAGGAAAACAGCGAAAACATGCACATTGCGGTATTCACAGAAATCCTTCGTCAGTGCAAAGTTGAGTACCCACAAAGCTTTTTGCCCCACAAATCGAACTTCCTACATGTCATGTGCCTCTTGATCGCTTATCTCAAAATCAAGAAAGTTGACAAACAAAAAATATTGCAACACAGGCTGAAGAAAACTTAACAATAAACTGTAAAGAATAATGAAAGACGTTTACAATGCTCTGTAATGCAAAATTAGAGCGCAGCTCTTGGGGAGGAGGGGAGGGTACGGACAGGAGGTTATGCCCCTCCCCCCTCCCCTCATTCTATTTAATGAAAATTTTCCTGCTAAATTTAGCGGGAAATTTAGCCAAAATTTTCTCGCTAAATTTAGCGGGGAAATTGACGTCATGTGACCTCAATACCAATTCAGTTTCTCCGTTTGTGACGTGCAATAATGCAATGCGCGCAGTTACGTTGATGCCGACGGCACCGCCGCTCAACCTTGTTTTGCTCTGAAAAGAGCCAAACAAGAAAAATATTGTGGGTACTGTGCTCGGCAACTGAGCAACGCAAGGTCGTTTGTTTTCTATTTTCAGTATTTTGCCATTCATTTTCCGGAAAAATCATTTAGAGACCGAAAGGAAAAAAAAATAAAGGGGTAATGGGGAAGAGGGATAAAAGCATAATACAGAGAAAGAAGGAGTGATGAAGTTTTCCTTTTCTTTTTATTTCTTTTTTGTTTGTAGACTTCTGTCGAAGTGAACAATAAATATTTTGGCCAATATTGGCCTTTCTGGGTACGTGGAAGCTTGATGTGACTTTGCACAATCTCCAAATCAGTGAAAGTGGGGGGTGGGTGCTTGCAAATCTACTCAATATTGTACCCTATCCTCGATATTGTACAAGGGCCCAACCAGCCGTTCAAAGACGCCATATCGTCAGGGTGACCGGAAAATCAATGATGGCTCGTTTGATCAGACTTTCTGTACCAAGTTGCCTTCGCACTTCGAGAAAAAATAATTGGAGAGAGCTCGGCAAAGTCGGGTTTGGTCCCATACTGTGATGTTTGATCAAAACCCAAATGATCACAGCCGACGAGCATTCAAATGGACACGTATACTGCGTGAGAATGACAAGGGATGCGCACATTTTGTTACAACGCTTCTGTTTCCTGTAAGCAAGAAACAGCAAGGAGCCAACAGTGTGCACTATACGCCATCAAATAGTGCAAGAACCTCAAGGGTTTCTAGAATTAATTTTTTTTTTCTACTTAATAAGTTTCTAGTTTTTAGATTTTGAAGGTGATGTCCAGAAATAATTTGCATAGCCTCAGGATGTAAAACCACTTGTGCAACTAGTAAATCTAATCTCTGTATGTTTTCCTCAGTAAAATATCCTACTCACTAGGCAAAGATTAATGTGATGGCATCTTGACACCATGTTTTAGGCATTCATCCGAATAAAAGTTTTCTGCCATGTCGAGCAAATCACACTTCACTAAATTTTTTTAAGGCCAAATCGGAGTTAGCGTTATACCCCTGTCAGACGGGCACCTTGAATGTCATTTACGCTAAAGGCCTTTAGGATTTTCAAATGACATTTAAGTCGTGTCATGTCAGAGGGGTAACTCAAATGTCATTTGGGTGATGTCTATCACGATAGCGGTCTGTTGTTAACCTAGCAATGTAGTGTTTGCATTATTGTTAACCTGGCAAACTAGTGTTTATTTTATTGTTTACTAAGCAAATAAAATGTAATGAACTCTCAGAACATAGAATTCAAACACTGTGACAAAATCTAAGTACACAATTTGACTGAGGCAAGGTGTTTTGTGGCAACTATGACACGACGTCAGCAATCTCAATTAATCCGTAGCCATATCCGTTCCACCGCTTGGCTCGTATGCTTTCGGAACTCCATGCTTCTTGCTCTCCGTTGTTCCTCTCTCTCTTTCGTTCTTCGCCGGATTCATATACCCCGTTGCAGTTTACGTCAGCGATCGGTTCAAGCGAAAACCGTGACCCTGTAGCGATGGAGCCTGCTGACGAGAATGATCGTAGTGCTATGGATCCACAACGTCGGATCGCGTTCCTGACGTGCAACTGAGACCGCGAGTACTACCTACATTAAACAAATATATCGCGAAGGGTGTGCGAGATATACACGCTATAAGCATTTTTTTCTAAAAATAATTGGTACAAGTATTGCTTTCAGTCGTATTTATATTATTTATAATGTTTTATTTCGATTCGCGGAACTTGTGCTGACCGCTGTTGACGAGACTTTACATTTACCAGCCGTAAATGAGTTTGGGAGAACTCAGTTGAGTTCGAATGTCATTTAAGTCAAATGCCAATTGAGTTGCCGTGTGACACTGCCTAAATGACATTTACACTGAATGACATTGGGGTAAATGTCATTTGAGGTGCCCATCTGACAGGGGTATTAGCAAGAATACAATTCTGCCTTAAAACTAGGACACCGCGAAATGCCTTATCACCAACACTTCTGGGCTTCAAATTCTTCTATTTCGAAGTCGGCGGCGTAGTGGACTTGTAATAGTCGTAAAAAATGTATCCAATTAATGTTACTAATAATTCTCACAAAAAAGCAACTTGCAACAACACTAAATTTCTGAAAAACGACTTTACCAACTATGTTGCTGCGAAACAGAAGCGAGGAGAAGCCCGGCTTGATGGGATTGGGGGAGGACACAAAATTTTGATAAGTTGTTTTATATGCTAGAAACATTTTTTCTAATGAAATGTTTTAGGGTTATATGGCCCTCTCCCGAAGCACTTCAGACAAAAAAAAAGTATTGATGCTGGGGCTGTCAGTGGACCTTTAACCCCTTGCCTACTAATAAGGAGTGTCAATCGTGCCCCCTTAGGGACCATAAAGCCCAACCACGAGTATGACTGGCGTTTCGGTTTTAGGCACATGTTTAGCGCGCTCTCAGGCATATGGCAAAACCATCCCTGTTACTCCATTTACCTTGGGTAGTTTGCTCGTTTGTTTTGATGTTTGACAGGAAGAGAATGCTCTATTTAGCCAAGAAAAAATGAAAGACTTTTACAAATCTCTGTAATGTGAAATTAGAGCACAGCTCTTGAGGAAAAAAGGGGGAGGGTACGCCCCTCCTCCTTTGTACCCTGCCATCCTCTCCCCCCTCCCACAATTTCACCGCTAAATTTAGATGAAAAAATTACACCACCTGACCTCAACACCAATTCAGTTTCCCTGCTAAATTTAGCAGGGCAAATGACATCATATGATTTGGTGTCACATCACCTATGAACAAATTCAGTTTCTATGCTAGCTTTAGCGAAAAAATATTAAGGTCATGTGATCTCAACACCAATTCAATTATCCGCTAAATTTATAAAACTGAATTTGTCCGTTAAATCTGACGGAGAAACTGAATTTCCCCGCAAAATTTAGCGAGAAATTGATTTGACATTGAGGTCACGTGACGTCAATTTTTTCGCTAAATTTAGCGCAGTTACGCCGACGCGGCGAAACCTGGAAAAAGGCGGCTAAGAGCTGCGCTCTAAAAAAAAAAGAATTCACTTGTGAGCTTCTCTGCAAATCATTCAGCCTTTACGATTTTTAGGAATCAGACGAGAGTCTGATGGGCAGTGACAGGAGCGATGAAAACTATGTGAATCCTCCAAGCATTCCGTTAATTTCGGCATCTGCACGTCATTGGGACTCAGACTGGAAGTCCCGATTTAGAGCAAGATATGACACCTGGAAGTCGAGGAAAGGTTTTTGTCCTATTTTAATGCAAACCGCCCATTTAAAATAAAATTGTGCTGTACGCTCCTTGAAGAAAAAAATGAGTAGGCAAGGGCTTTCCTCCTGAGGCTCACAATGTGGTGTTTGCTGTAGTTATGCCTCATTCCCTTTAACTCGAACCAAATTGATGGGCACATGGCACACCCCCAGAAGGTGCACACTCATACTTGAGAAGAGACAAGGCTCGAAGGAGTTTCTGCCACATGGCGTACACACCCGAGTTTCGTGAATGAGGCTGTCCAACTCCTTCTGAATCTCGTAGCTTCTCGACGTGATGTTCCGTGAGACGCACTCCAGGTATGCGAGCAGCTGCAAGAAAACTGCAATGAAAACCTGGCACTACTGTAAGACAATAAAGGCGCGTTCACACCAGCAACTTGCAGCACTCGAGCCACAACTCTCATTGCAAAAGCAACCATCGCAGAAAAAAAGTGACGCGCTTCGAGCAGTCGCTAGCCGACCTGATCTTTTTGCGATGTGATCTAGTCGCGGAGCGGCTCAGCCAATCAGCGGCTGAGAAATATTGCTCGAAGTGAGAGTTTTCGAGAAGCAACTCGCACATTGTGAGCACCAGAGTGACCATCTGATCTTTTCCCGATGCAATCAAGCTGCATTGCGCGAGTGCTTCACATTGCCAGTGTGAATGTGCCTTCAGACCAAGAGTTGGCCGCAAAAAATGCACCGTGCGTTTCTAAAATTTTCTGCGAGGAAATGGCATCTGTTTCTGCCAGCAGACGTTGTTCCTCTCCACCATAGCCTCCTATACACCGTTTTACTGAAAGAGGGTGTGAGAGAAGAGGGGAAAGGGCTACCAATGCTTTCCCACTTGCTAGTGCGTTAGAAAGAGAAAGTCCCGAATGAAAGGCTTCGCCGGTGTCGAGTGTATGCATTGCCCAAACTTCGTTTGTGCTTTCTTCTGTTTTTTGAACTCCCAAACTTAATTAGAGCCACTGGCTTGGATAGTGACAGTCCCCCGGTCATCGGGACACCATCGCTCAGTTTTAAGGTGCACGAATAATAACAAAAAACGTGGAATACTGTCCGAGGACCTATGTAGCTTGCAGGGAATCCGTGAAGGCAAGTGCGGCTGCAATGTCCTTAAGCTCCATCACTTTCTGCATGACCCTGATCTCCGGCGGCAGTAGGTTGCATCTGTAAACCCAAGACTTTTCCACAACGCCATCCTCTCGACTGTGCTCGGAACATTTTGTGAATGGAGTACACACCGAACGCTGTACCCTTGATGAACTTGGGGCAGTTCGAAGGCGCGCACAAGTTTTCTCGAAATAATGGCAGTTTTAGCTTGTAACTTTTTGTAACTGAATTTTTCTTAATATTGATATTTTGAAGTGGTGACACTGACTCGATTTTATCATCTACAACACTTAGTTGAAGGCTCATTTCCGCCGCCGGGTGTGGCTTGAAATTGTCAAAAGGTTAGTCGGTTTTCCTGAATCGCGATCTGCTACGCGATACCAGACAGCCGTGAACCTATGTTGATCGTCACAACGCGACTAGATTCCTTTTATTTTCAAAATTAGTACATAATGTGGATGGAAAGAAACCTTTCAATTTCTGCCCCCCAAAAAAATAATTCCTTACCACGCCACTGGATTCTTCGGTTCAAGATTAACACGTGCCACCGACGGACACACGCAGGGGCTGATCTTACCTGGGAATCGTCCGCCAGCGACCAGTTCGACGCTCGGTTTCTCATATCCTCCGTGCTGAGCGGCTGGTCCCACGGCTTGGAGGAGCCCGCTTCGACGTCGCCCACCTAGTACCGGAGAGAGCAATTGCGCCGCATGGCCTCTGCTTACAACGTCCGAGAATTCGGGGTCAGCGCTACACTACTTGTGCGCTTTGACAGGTACTTTTAAAAAAAACAGCTAGCAGAAACGAACAAAAAAAAAAAAAAAAAAAAAAAGGGAGTTGATCATTTTGAAGCTTGACGCAAAGGGTTGACACGGTATTACGTGTCTGAAATAATTTAAGTATCGCCCTAAAAGAACAAACGCATTTGTGCGCAAAATACGCGTTGAATCGTTTATTCATCTCGGGCAAACACGTGCAGCTAGAAAACGAACAAAATTCCCATCAATTGAGCGCTCTCGTGACGAGAACACGCGAAGAGCCGACGAGTCTGTCCTACGCCCCCTTCATCCTCGAGGGAGTTAGTGACTACAATAAAGCGAAGCAGGACTGGTAGCACTCCAGGGAATGTGCAGAACGATATCTCCCGCGTGTAAGAAAAAGAAAAAAAAATCGCCGGGTTAACTACGTACCGAGTTCATGACATTCAGGACGTACCAGCGTTCAGCTGGTTCAGCTGTGTCTATAGTTTTCGAACGGCGGTGGCGTGGCGGTCGTTTTACGTCCGGCGGCGCGGCGCCGGATACGGATATTCGGCGGCGGCGGCGTACAAGATTGGCGCGTAGTTCAAAATTACACGCCAGCAGTGGCGTACCAACTTGTTTTCGACGGGGCGTGGGGGGGGGGGGGGGGGGGGGGGGGGGGGGGGTTTGACGCCGCCGACCAGTGTTTACCCTGCCCAGTGGCGGCAGTTTCAGCGCTTCTGGTCAAGAGATCCAACGAGTCAAAATATCCAACGAGTCAAAAGATCCAACAATGGATCTTTTGACTCGTTGGATCTTTTGACTCGCCAGACACGAGTCAAAAGATCCAATGTGGGTCAACAGGTCCAACGAGTCAAAAGGTCCAACGAGTCAGAAGGTCCAATAGTGGATCGCTTGACCCGGCAGACGCGAGTCAAGAGATCGCATGCGGGTCAAAAGGTCCAATTACTCGAAAACTGCCGCGTCATATGGCAAGGAGGTTAGGAAAGGTCCCTCACCTCTCCTGCCCTAGACGCGGCCCGCGGGGAGGCATTGTACAATAAAATTCAAAAAACAATTTTTGAGTATACCCGTTTTCACCTCAAGGAACGTAGTAAAGAAAAGTCTGGCTCCTCGCGGAACACTGCTGATTTCCGCATTCATGTAGAGAATTAAGATATAAGTAGGTGAATTGTAGATTAGATACATGTCATCATATTAAGACGTACACGTTCCAAACGCCAAAAGCATCGCTTTTCCCTCCGACAACCAAATCTCGTAAGAACTACTTCGCGCCGCGTATGAATATTGCGCAAAGCTTGCTTTTTTCTTTGGGTGAAAATGGGTACAGGTGCCTTAATTTTTGTCTAAAAGAAATGTTAAAGACATTTAAATTTGACGCGCCGTTTAACTCCTCATGCTTGGGAGAAGAGCGTGTTGGTTTAAGTCATGGATGAAGAAAGAATAAAACAATTAAAACAGGGACAACACAACCACATGAAAGATGTGGTTGTGTTATCCCTGTTTTAATTGTTTTCTTCTTTCTTCATCCATTAATTCCTCACTATTTCCCGGTTTGCGGACGGAAAAGGGCCCGAGCTAGGGGGGCACAGGTTGTGATAGGGTGTGTTTTTGTTTGCAAAATAGTTCGTACAAGAAGGCCGATGCAGAGTGCGTGTATATTTTTCAATGAAAAATGATTTGGTCGATTTTGTCTGTCCGTTACAAAAAAAGGCCCCACCACGACCATAAAAGATGACGCCCTTCGCACTTTTTGAAACACGATTGTGTCGCGTTCATGTTCGCTGGAAATATGTACTAAAGCGCACCTTGTAGGTGATGTATGACTTGTTCGAAATGTATTTCTCTTGTGCGAAAAACTAATTAAATTAGCGCCGCAAAAAAAAAAAAAGGAAAAAAATGACGGTCGTGCGTGTTTGAGGTCTGAATTTATTCTCTCAGGCACTTCATTTGACAGACATGTTCGTCGCTGTTAAGGTTTCATTGTACAACCAACTACGAGATTCCCCAAATTGGAATTTTATCATTACACAAGAAAAATGACAGAAAGAAAATGAAGACGATGAACCGTACGCAGTCAACGCAAATCTCAGTGGTGCTTGTGGATATTGAGGCATCGCAATGCTTGTCAGCTATCCAAGGGGCGACGTATTTCTAAACCGCACATGAGCAATTTAGCCTGGGCCGTACGACGTTGTACTCTGTTTCACCTTGAAGGCTGGTTCACACTGTTGCGACCGGCTACGACCAAGTCTGACGGAACAAGTTTTTAAGACCCTCTTACGACCACACCGCACAGCAGCAATGGCGGCCGTAAGCGGCCTAAAACTTCACTGCCATAGCCACCCATAAAAGAGATTAACGACGCGAACCGTTGCAGGCGCACACGGTCGGAACTCATGCATGTGAGTGAACCAGCCAGCGCATCCGATCTTGCGCCGACAGTGTGTCACGTGACCTTCCGGTTCGGCACGGCGTCGCGGGGAGCGAGATGTCCCATGACGCTCTCGACTTCTAGCACAGGTTGCGGTCAATCCTTAGGTGAAACGGAGTATAGCCTTGGGTCTTTATGTGCACCACGCAGTAGTCGCTACATGAACACTCGCCGATGATGGTTCTCCGTACAGCGTGGTGCCAGTTAGCAGCCATGCTGCACTGGCCATATTGGCAATATACTGCGGAAAGGCATGTTGACCCTCTGGATGGCTGTCAAACATTATGCTGTCCAAATCCAAAGCCATAAATGTTCTGCTTGTTCAGCTCATGCTGCGTATACACGTCTCGTAATTAAGTCACCGACTAACTGTTAAAGGTTTTTAGATTCAAGAAACAACCTGCGTCCCCGCGACCGTACAACAGGCGCAACCCTCTGGAAATTTCTCCGATGATCAAGCATGGCCGACGAAGAAATGGCGTTGGTTACTAGCCCATTGAAATGGAAAACGCACCAACGCCGTGACACAGCCAGTCATTCAGGATCCCGAAACCTCTCGTCCCCGAGGCCGCTGCATCATCTTCTCCCATCTCCCTCTTTTTTGTTGCTTTGTTATTAGACGCGGGATCCCAACCCGCTGCAGTGCAGTGACCATCACGCCCCTCTTTGCTACCAGAAAACCTTCGTTAATCGTAGTTTTGCTTTTCTTTCTTTCCTACTCTTCTTCAAAGCCCTTCCTCCCCTTTCCCGGCAAGAGTCAAGAGGTCCAACGAGTCAAAAGGTACAATAATGGATCTTTTGACTCGTCAGACACGGGTCAAAAGATCCAATGTGGGTCAGGAAATCCAAGGAGTCAAGAGATCCAACGAGTCAAAAGATCCACGGCGAGTCAAGAGGTCCAACGAGTCAAAAGGTCCAACGAGTCAGAAGGTCCAATAATGGATCTTTTGACCCGTTGGATCTTTTGACTCGATGAACCTCTTGACTCGGAATCCAGTTTCAGGGGGGGGGGGGGGGGGGGGCAAAACAACACATGCCTTGCCCCCCCCCCCCCCACTCTGAGAACTGGATTCCGAGCCAAGAGGTCCAACGAGTCAAAAGATCCATTGTTGGACCTTCTGACTCGTTGGACCTCTTGACTCGCCGTGGATCTTTTGACTCGTTGGACCTCTTGACTCGCAGTGGATCTTTTGACTCGGTGGATCTCTCGACTCGTTGGACCTCTTGACCCACATTGGATCTTTTGACTCATGTCTGGCGAGTCAAAAGATCCAACGAGTCAAAAGATCCATTATTGGACCTTTTGACTCGTTGGATCTCTTGACCAGAATTAAACGTGAGAACTGGGGGGGGGGGGGGGGGCTGGTACGCCCATGCACGCCAGTATGGGCGTGCTTGCAATTGTCGTCGTCTTTCCATCTCTAAAATGTCTGCAGTAAAGACAAAGGCACACGCGCCTGAGCCTAGCTCAGCAGAATGCTCCTGGTTACACGCGAATTTGTGCATAGAAGGCACTTCCCTGTTGGCAACTGTGGAATTTCTGTTTCTGCACATTGGCGGACTAAAACCGCAACGTTTTTGCACACTTTATGCGTTGGGTTGAATTTGAAAACAAGAACACACCCGTAGAAAAGGTGATGGGCGCCGGGGGCGACCCCCGGTACCGAAAGCGCGCATCTCTGGTCCTGTGCTGGTCCCGGTGCCGAAAGTGACGTCTCTGGTCCTGTGCTTACTACTGGTCAGAGCCGCTAGAAGCTTATTTTTAGTCAAGATACAAAATATAACTGGCGCGAGCCGTTTTAATTTTTTATAAAAGTAGTTTTTGTTCAGTATTTTAGATCAGAAGAGAAACAAATCCAGTTTATAAAGTACGGAAACAAGAAATAACCCGTCGACATACCCGCCACCAGGCGGTGGAAAAGGCGGCGCCCCGCATACTAGAAAGTGGGGGTGTCGCGAACCAGCCGCGGTCGAGTTCGACCAGGTTCGACTTTTTCGAACTTTTAGTGGAAAGTTCGACAAACCTTCTATTGAGGTTCGACTCGAGTGCGCATGCGCGACAGGCCGGCCAGTTGGCTTCGGTTTGGATGATAATGGCTAAGAGATGAATTAAGTGCAGCGCTGATTGGCTATTTCAGTTATTACAGTACTAAAAATTAAGTTATTACCTTCTTCATTGCTTAGAATTAGTTTCTTCTAATTGCAGCTGTTCTCAATATAAAATAACCCTTTGCATAAAATTTTTTTTCAAAACTTAGACATACTTGTATTAAGGTCTGGCCACACTGTCCACAAAGTCGAACCGGTCGGATCTGGTGAAAAGTTCGAAGGTTCGTCGAACCCCGAAAGTTCGACAGAAAAATCTGGTTCGACAAAAGTTCGCGACACCCCTACTAGAAAGGTGTAGTGGGATCAGGCTCCGACGAGCGGCGAGCGTAGAAAGGTCCCAGATGTACGCGGCGGCGCTGCAGTCGAGAATCCGACTGGTTCTGAGTGTTCCGAAGGCCTTCGGGGAGCAGCTTTGGCTTGCGGTTTGGCCCTTTGGCGGTATGACAGCGCAAATTGGCTCCCGTTCTGAACTGATCTTTACCCCGTGTTTGCTGTCGTTTGTGGCCAATGAAGTGTCATGCCGAGTTAGTGTTTAATCGCGCAGCAAATGCAATGCGAGCCTCCCTGGCTGCCCGCCTCATACATGTCCTATCCAGAACATGCTTTAGTGGCGCCCTCTCGAGCCGTCGCCACGGAGTGCGGCAGCCGTGAGCGCTCGATGAGCTCACTACCCTCCTCTAGTTCACGGCCGCTCAAGCGACCAAGGACGTCATGAAGGAGGTTATTTTTTGCTTGTTTTTGTAATTTTAATTTGCCTATAACTTTTAAAATAAAGCGAATTTCGAGAGAAGAAGTTTCATTAAGTTACTACGTTCAGTGCGCTCAGGTTCGGTGCAAATTAAAAACCAGTAAAAACAAAAATCCTTATAGGGCTCCTCAAAAAAATACTATCAACCCCCCCTTTTTTTTTTTTGCCAGGCGATTTAAATGATGTCA